GTTCCTCAATTATTTTACATGCTTGAGTGTAAAGGCCTACACCAAAATATGCTACGAGTATTCCATATTCTTCCAAAATCGGATCGCAATCGAATCTAGTGTGCATAATAATTTATGCGCTGGTCCTAAGATTGACGTTCAAAATATGTCTTCGCTATCGCTTTCCAGATAACAGCGTACTTTCTCTTTAAAGGTTTGGCTATTTGATGATACATTGTATAGCTTTATAGTATATTAGGCCTAATACACTAGTAGCCTAAATTTGATTTGATGTTAGAAACCTTGTTTGCAGATAATATCAATGGCGTACCCAGAACGTGATGATTGGATTGGAGGGGCGTACTCCTTTTCTATTTCAATGGGTATGTCAGTGATTTTACAAACAAATAGGAACACTGAATATTAGGTTACAAGCCGCACTTTACTAGATAATACCTCTGCGATTTTCGTGGCTATAATGATCATTGAATGTCAAAGTTCTAAACTGCAGCCTACGATACCGATAATGACGTGGGAGTATATAAATATACCTGATAGTGAACATTCTGAAGGAAACAAGATTATCAGGTAAGTTTTCTTTTCCCCGCATGGAAAAGCTTCATTAAAAAAAAAAAACGCATTACAAACAGCAAAATAACTACTGCTTATAATAATGCTGTCAAGATGTGGATAATTATTATGCTTTAATAATAAATAATGTATGTAAATTCCTTTTCATAGAATGGTGATATAAGTAACTGATGATAATGATGATGATGATAATAATAATATCAATGATAATAATAATGATAATGATAATAAAAATGATTAATAAAAACAATGATGATAATATTAATGAATAACAAATAATAAAATGATTATGATAATAATGATGATAATGAATATGACCACTCGTAGACCACAATAATGTTAAATACTCTTTAAGCAATTCACGAGCCTCCCCACAGCAACAAGGTTTGGGGCCGGGGGGGGGGGCGGGCGGGGGTGGTCGGCGATAATAGAGCGTCGCGTCGAAACAAAACACAACAAGGTGTTGATGTTGATGTTGTTTCTGTCGAGTCGAGCATTGCTCATTAAAGGCGTATTACATTTTTTTTTTAAATCTGCAACAATTTATTGTGACATTAATTTTGTTTACGATGTATTATTCAAAGTTGGCTAGAAAAGGCATGGTTTGAAGAATATCACAAAATATCAAAATGCTTCCTTTATAGGCCTTTAAATTATTTGTTGTAAGTATTGCCTCGTATTTGTACATAATTATGAGAAAGTAGTTTAATTAAGAGTAATATCATCTAAGCCTGTATTTTGTTTATGATTTTCATCTTTTCAAATAACAGGCTTTTAATGGTAAAGAAGCCTTTAAAAAAATGAAAATACGGTCCAGGATAAAGCTCACAAAACATACAAAACGTATACTACTAAAAATATCGGGAACATAATTTTGTCTGGCCGGACACTAGATTAGATTTTCGCTTTAAACGCAATATACTTGGGAGAGAAGTATTTTACAATAATTAGCCTTTAATTTCTAGTCAGTTATCACTGCCGGACAAAAATGAATGTAAGTATTAAGCGCAAGAGTAATTTTGTTAAGAAGCCATGTGATATGTACAGGGGGGGCACAGTGCCCACACTTTTTCAAGTGCCCAAAAAGTTCCCCATTTTTACCATATAAAAGTACCCCTTTAAATTTGTAAGAAGTGTCCCTCTTTACAAAGAAATATTGCCCCTTTTACTTTGACAAGTGCCCCTATCACTTTGTAAAAGTGCCCCTTCCCCTTTTCACCTCTGATAAGTGCCCTTTTATTTTTGACGCGGCCTATTTTCCTTCGACAAGTTCCCATTTCCCTTTGCAATAAGTGTCCATTTTCCTCTCTCATAAGTGCCCTTTTTAATCTCTAGTAAGTGCCCCTTTTCAAGTACGAGAAGTGCCTCTTTTCACTTTTGATAAGTGCCCCCTTCACCCCTGATGATTGTCCTTTACAAAAATGAGAGGTGCCCCATTTATTTTGACAAGTGCCCCTTTTCCTTTTTAAGAAGTGCCACTTTTTCTGTTAATGATTACCGCTTTTTAACTCGGATAAGCGCGCCTTCTATTTTCATATCTGTCACTTTTACTTTCCACAATATTATTGTCCCTTTTCCTTGAGATAAGTGCCCCAATTTAGACAAAAGAGACTTTTGCCCTTCTCGTAAATGTCCCTTTTACATTATGAAAAGTATCCCTTTTTAGGTGCGATAAGTGCCCTTTTTCACCTCTGATAATTTCCCTTTTAACTTTGATACGTCGTGCTGGGCCCTTTTTCCTTTCTAGTAAGGTCCTATCCACCTTATCATAAATGCCCCCTTTCAACTCTTATAAATGCCCTTATCAGAATTTAATGGGTGTCCTGTTTTCGTCGACAAACGCCCATTTCCCATTCTCATAAGTGCCCTTTTTCATCTCTGGTAAGTACCTCTTTTCAGAAGTGCCCCATTTTCACATGTAATAATTACCCTTTGTACGTTGACATGACTGTGGTCCTATTCTTTTCTAAAATGTATCCTATCCCTTTCGATAATGTCCCATTTTCCTCTCTTCATTAAACGTGCCCCTAATATAAAGCGACTAAGAGCAATTTCCCCGGAAGCTCACTCGCTACGCTCGCTCGCATTCATAGATAATTATAATTGTGTTACTTAGTAAAGGTATTTTCACTTTCCGTTATGATAATGTGCTTATAAATGCATTAGGATTGGGGTTTTCCCTCTTTATAAGATTTAATTTTTCTCACTGCGACTCCCCACAAATCTTGAAAAATTTTCCTCGCTCGCTTCGCTCGCTCATGATTATTTAGACCATCACACCTAACTGCAAAGTATGATACTTAAGTAACAATGATGATGGAAATCCAACCAAAATAAACAACTACTATAGCAAGCAGAAAAATAAGAGAAGCAGAGCTCAGGTGGGTCTATTCTTTTTAAACTGGACCTATAATAATGTGCTATCTTTATATTTTGAGTAGTGCTCTAAGGGAGAAGGAACCATATTTTGTACACGGCAAATGGGAGAGTTATTCACGTCCTACGTCACAATCCACTGACCAAACTACCAATCTGAGATTCGCATAGAATTAGTGATCCCTTATTTCAAACATTCATATCTTCCTTACTATTGGTCCGATTCATTTCAAACTTTTGCCATTCTGTTCCACTTATTTTTCTGCCTTCATTCAAATCAAAGTATTACGGTTATTAATGGTTAGATTGACTTATTGTAATCACAATGTAGGGGTATATACCAATCTCTAAGAAATTGGATAGTTTCGCTTTGGGATTTGCCTTTGAATGTGCCCTTTTATTTTCAAGAAAGTGCCCTTTTTTGTTGGTTCCCCCACACCTTAGACGGTCGCTCCGCCGCCCCTGACTCCCTCTCCAAGACTCGTTCAAATGGCGAACTTGAAAGAGGAAAAAAGAAAAAACAGGATTGAGAAAGAAAGTGAGAGAAAATGACACGACCATTTTCACCACCCTCTTCTTACTCAATCGCCTTGTTCACTCGCCTTTCATCCGCATACTTAAGTCCTTTGTGACTTAAGTCGGCGCAAAAAAAAAATCCTTAAAAACTGGACCCCCCCCAAAAAAAAAGGTTCTCTTACCGCGCCTGGAAGTGAACACCCCCCCCCCCCCTCCCACAGTGGCTTGAAAACACGTTACGCCGTTTCTAATTATAATTATGTGAACTAACCCTATTCCCGAGTGTAATTTTTAAATTATGAGTTATCAGGTGTCGGGAGTTTTATCATCATATTTTCTTGACCTCAACTCCGAGATGAACCTCAATAGTAATATGCAAAAGATAACATGAAGTAGCATAAAAGCATAATAGAGTTGCATTTTTGTGATATAAAGCGAAAATCAGGGTTTGGCATAATGTAGGCTACAGGAAATACTCAGAAAACAGTTTATGTTAAAAAAAAACAGTCAAAATTAAAAGCGATAGGAAGCAAGATGAATTATGGATGGCGGCGATTATGATAGGGAATGTATTTGACAACCACTTCTCTACAGCTGCATAGGGTCTATAGTTACGGGGTGTAGGCACAGCAGGGGGCACGTGCCCCTCCGCGAGTCAGTGAAAAGAAAAAAAAGCCAAACTCGGAGAAACGAGAGAAAAAGAAAAGGAGAGGGAAAAGGATGTGAAAATCCGGGTTGTTTAGGATCTAATCAATGAACTTGTTAACACGTATTTCATGATAAGGAGGTAACCCCCCCCCCCCCTGCTCCCCGGCCTCATTTATGATCACAGGCCCTTAATTAGCGCCCCTTCAATAACTTGGCGCACGATACAATCTAACCCCCTCCCCCTTCACTGAATGAGAGTCTACTTTGGGAATCATACATTTTCTTAACTTCGACATGTTAATCACAATGAAATCTAAATATAGGGCTATATGACAAGACATACTGAACAAAATATAAGCCATATTATGATATTTGAAGATCAACAACAGCGATAGAAAACGAAGAGGGTGAATATTAGTGAGAGCGCATTATGTTGGGTCACAAAATTATTCTTACCACTTTGACTCCAATTACTGTCCATTACATTGTTAATGCAATTTGAGTATGTGTGACATGGCACAGTTTAGAGCTTTACGGCTTATTATCCCAATTAAATTGGGAAAATCCATGAAAAAAAAGAAGAAAAAAAATCTTCTGTCGTAGAACTAGTACGCATTTTGTTTTTCCCTTCGTTATTTTATGATAGACCTACAACAAGGTTATTCACAGATATGAAAAGCCCAACTTGATTTTTGGCTTTTTAGACTCCCTTTTTGTAAGTTCTTTCGAAAACATGCAGTTTGAATGCACACCCAATTATAGTAGTGCAGCTTTAAATCACTGTGCTAACGCCTTCTCTCCATTGAAATAACGTGTTGGCCTATAGATGCTACACGTCTGTCGCACATCTTTTGTAAACTGTTGTACAGTCAATGACGGAATATACAAGCCGCCGTATAAAATGCATGCAATCGCGATCGACCAATGCGCGGCAGCCGCTTAGCCAAATCAAGGAGTTGCTAGCAATACAACGGCGCGGCGTGTATACGTTGAGCATATACCAGCACGCTGTGTATACTGCACTGATCGAGGTACCCGCGGCTAAACTTAGCGCTACATCGCTGCTGCCCAACCAACTAGCGCACCGTACCCGCCGACAATCCGAAAGTGCTGCGAGTACTTTTTGAAGAGCATGACCACAGTACCCACGATGGATCGGAGAATTGAGCTGGAGTTACGTGGTGCGGATCCGCAGAAGGTAATTTTCATTATTTGAGTATTATCCGTAATATTCTTAGTGTCATTCTCGTTTGTGGACTGTTGTTTTGGTCATTTCATGTTGTCAAAAATTGTGTTTCAGTTGCATGGGGACGCTGCCATTTTTGTTCCATCTCATACGTCGGAACATGATTCTGTGTCCCAAATTTCATATTATTCAAAACATTTTTAAAACTTCACATCAGTATAGTTCTCTTATTGTATGTCATGAAAATGTATTCCATATAATGTTCAAACCTAAAACCTGTTAGATACCTTACAAATTGCTCCTAAAGCTAACCATGTCGTATTTGAAAATGATAGTCGTTGTACAAGTTTGACTTTGATGCCATTGCGATGAACGGTTTGTGTATTGACATACAGTGCACATGTGTCTGCGTAGAAGCCGAGATGCGGACACAGTATAGCGTAGCACGTTGAGTTGTGTGTAAAACTTTTGAAATTCAAAGTCGACGCGAATTCGCGCCACACATAAAGACGGCTTCTCGGCTAGTCATTTTGTACAATAATTTCTAACTGGATGATCGTGCGTGTTGAGACGAACAATGAACCTGAGGCAGTGTTATAATACAGCCTGTAGAATTAGAGCACACAAGTGCAATTTAGAGTTTAGTGTTCATGTTTTATTCTGTGTTTATTTTGGCCAACTGCAACTGAGTGTCAACTTGGACGAGTTCAGACTTCCGAGGGTCTAAGCCAGTTGAAACTAGACTACTCACATGACTGATGACTATGGGGTGTCTAGATCTAGCTCTGTACTGACTGTAGCTCAGCCTCTAGCTTGCTGTGTTATTGTTTTGTTTTTATTTTGTCAGTAAGACACTGGTACTGATGAGCAATTGTAATAGTACATTTGGTAATACAGACCTCTTGATGTGAGGTTGATGTTGTGTAGCCATTGAAGGACAGCAAAATCAACAACAAAGTCAAAGAGAAAAAACAAACAAACAACAACAAATAACAATACAACAAAAGAAAATGAATAACAACAGATTGAATAAAAGACCTTACGCACCCTCCAAAAAGGCTGAACAAAACAACAAAAATGTAACAGTGAGCAATGAAATATTTATAGTGGAAAGCTAATCTTAGCGCGTGTTGCAAAAGAACAAATAGTTATAAGTAATACCAATACCATATTGAGCCAAAAAAGTCATTACAACTCTGAACAAAATAGTTTTCACACTGTAAAATCGAAAATGGGAGAAAAAAATCTAGATGTATTGTGGAGGAAGTTTGAATAAGGCCGAACATGAAAGTTGAAATTTTTTGAAAGCTGATCAAAATTTATCGATCACAAACAGTTGGGGAGGGGGGGGGGGCTCTGGAAAATCTACACTAACTTAGGCTACCCCTTCTTTAAGAGGCGTAAGTAGATTTCACCCAATTGTGGCAATAATTATTAATTTAATGTGAGTTGAATTGGTTAAGAGGGGGCATGAACACAACCTTTCATGGGGGGGGGGGGGGCATTTCCAAGGGTTTAGCTGGTTTCACTATGAAGAAACTAGGAAGTGGGCAGGCAGTGCGAACATAATAATATATGGTAACTGCTTTTACAGTGTGTTAGGCTGTTGTGTTCATAGCTATTTACAAAACTCATTACACAGGTACAGAAACAAGGAAAATTTCCTTCCTCTACAAATCAAGGACAAATCATAATATTCTGTATAATGATAAATGAATATAAGACCAAATGGGACTCTTTATTATTTACATGGGGGGGGGGGGGGCACCAATACAATATATATTTCCCCTTTAGCAGGGATCTAAAGTCTCACCGAAGAACAAATTAATAAGACCCTAGTTAAATAATTTCCATCAAATTAACGAAAAGAAAATAATATAAATTATCTTTGGCTCTGACTAATTTACCTTTTGCATTTCATAAATGTTACTGAGCTTGAATCTCAGTGTGTTTACTTTTGTGGGTGAGATAATTTGTATCCCTGTCCCAAATCTCCCAATTTTTGTTAGTGTACCGTGGAGGGTACTAAGTCTTGTCATATTTTGTTTGTTTTGACATATCTTTGTTGCATGTGAAATTGATAACTTGCTGTACATCAGGTGTACAAGCCAACATTTTTAGATGTATTTATTACTTCTTTTGTCACATGTTTTATGTCATTTGTAATTATGTAAACTGCTAATAGAGAAAAGAATCAATATACAAAAATATAGTACATTGTAATAATATATCATGTCAGCCGTACATAGACCTCAATTTGTGTATTTTAAGTTTTTGTATACTGTGAAGAACTTTGTAACTGAGTTCATCTTTTTTCCTATCAAGAATGCACCAGTGTATGAAAAAAATACACGGGGGCTCAGGGCGAAATAGCCCCCGAAATGCTCAAGAGAGCCCCCGAAATGCCCAAAAGAGCCCCCGAAATGCCCAAAAGAGCCCCCGAAAATCAGAAAAGAGCCCTCTTAAATTTGCATAGAGTTCAATGCAAAACAAATTTTAGAATGTTATTCTCATGCAGGCAAGGTTGAAAAGTAGCCCCCGAAAAATAAATATTAATATTTTCACCTGAAATGGGCAAAGAGAGAAATACAGCGCGTTCATGCCTTCATGCATGGTGCACCAAATGTCAAAATCCTATTCCCTAGTCAGTGCTAACAGGCCCGGGAGACACATAAGTCCAAACCCTCCAAATTTTGTAGCTTTTATGGTAGGGCTCGTACATACGGACTAAGACTTAAAAAAGTTAAATCAGGATCAGGACCCCCTTTGATTATGTTGTGTTGAGTTTGTGTGGAGCCCTTTTCTATTCCTTGTTCACTAAAGAAAATGTCACAAATGTATTAATATAATGTATTGGGTTATGAAAATATAATAAAAAATGGATGCATAATTATATACTTTTAATTTTGTTTATAATTACAGTAGTTTCACAGGAAGATGAGGTTAGCATGTGAGAGTATTGTTTATCAGTGGACTAACTCCACCCACTCACTTTAATCAGGGTGTTTTTTTTTAATGAATTTTGCCAGCTTTTATGTATTTTATGGCCAAATCATTTGCTAATTCCACTCCATTAAGTTTTTACCACTAAGTGTTATGAGTTCATTTTAAGCAGTTTCACATTCTGTATTTTTTGTTTTTGTGACAGGTGACCGATCTGATGCTTGATAACTGTAACAGTGGAGGGATGATTGAGGGACTCACAGATGACTTCGTTAGTTTGGAAAGATTAAGCATGATCAACACAAAACTCACAAGTCTAAAGAATTTCCCAAAGCTTCCAAAACTTCAAAGGGTAAGTTTCAAACAAGTTTTACAGTGGTATATTGCCCTCAAAGTTAAGGTTTTAGAATAACTGTGAAATCGGAAATCCTTTTTTATTTATCTTGTATTTCTAAATTCTAAATATTTCTTCATATGTTATACATTTATTAATTCATTGCAGTTGTAGGTTGTTATTGATAAATTATGCAAAACCCAGAGCAAAACAGAATATTTGTTTTACTCTGGCTCTGTCATTAAAAAATGTATACATAAGGATGTCATGTACATACTGTTTTTAGAATGTCTGTAATTAGTAGTATTTGTTCAATTCTTTTACAAATGCCTGGATGATGGTTAATTTATTTAAAAAAAATCACAATTAGGCCTACATTGTAATTGTATTAATAATTTACTGTTTTTCTCTTTATTGTAGTTGGAATTAAGCGATAATGCAATCCGAATGGGCTTAGATGTTCTTACAAGATGTCCGAACCTCACGCACCTAAACCTGAGTAACAACAAAATATCAACAATTGAAGCATTAGAACCTTTGGTGAGTACAGCGGGTCTCTGCCAAGTGCATTTTTTTGTTTTTTTTTTGTGTGTGTTTGTGTTTGTGTGTTGTGAAGAATACTAGTAAAGTCTGAGTAACTGCTGAGGCAACCAAATGTCAGATTTACAAAGATTCATTATTTGTAGTCTCCCATTCTTTAAAGCCCCACTGCACTACTTATAGCTACTTGCGCCCTCTATATATCAAACAGTGCCTGTTGGTCCCCCATGATCCCCTTTTTCTTATGTTAATTGAGAGCTGATTTTATGAGATAACCACCTTTCAGTGACCTTGCAGGAAGGTCTAATCCCTCCTGGCCAAAACTAGTGCAGACGGGCTTTAAGTAAAGGCTTCTGATCTGCAAAATTATTTTGTAAAAAATTATTTATTTTGTGATTGTAGTACAATCAAAGCAGACTCATCACTAACGTTATTACCAGCCAATTCTTGATTAATAGATTTTTTTTTTTTTTGATGACAATAATAATAAGTTGAAGGCTGTTAGCAGTGAATGTGAATCACAACATTACAATGGAAAAAAGTACTATAAAACAGGAAATTTATTTCATGAGTGGTGGAGAACTTGGCAAAAGTTTAATGCTGCAGAATAATTGAATCACCACATCAAATTCTTGCTACTGGCACAAGTTTCTTCTCTCAAAATTGGTGGTCATCGATAATCCACTGTCCACAAAAAATTCTGGTTTTACATGACAGATATGGCGTGAAATTGAATCTCCCAAATCTAACTTGCATTTGTCCATTGTACCTTCCTGTCAATTCCAGGGGGGGGGGGTGTTTCATAAAGCTGTGCATAAAGTTACGCACGACTTTACGAATGACTTGAATATGAAGAGCTAAATGGGATACTCAAACCCTTTAATAGCATAAGCTAAAGTTGAAATATGCAGATTAGCCATATCAATATCAACAAAACAATTTAATGCAAAGTGTATTTATGGCTACATTTTAATTTAGATTATGGGAAATACAGTCACACTTTGGCTATCCCGTTTGGCTCTTAATATTCAAATCATTTGTAAAATCATTTGTAACTTTAGTTTACGCACAGCTTTATGAAACATCCACCTGCTGGGTGTTTTAACCGGAATGTTGAATGTCTGTCCTTTTTCCATCGCAGAAAGAGTTACCAAAGCTTACATACCTAGACCTATTCCGCAATGATGTCACACGCCTAAATAACTACAGAGAAGAAACATTCAAGATGCTGAAGACCCTGAAGAGCTTAGATGGGTTCAAAGGGTCAAGTGGAGAAGTAGCAGACAATTCAAGTCCTTCAGAAGATGAGGATGAAGATGGTTAGTAGTAGTTACTTTCTTAAAATTCTCATTTTTGAAACAGTGTTAGGAAGAACTTCTCCTCCTCATTCTCCCCATGCCCCTTCTCCTCCTCCTCCTCCTCCTCCTCCTTCTCCTCCTCCTCCTCCTCCTCCTCCTCCTCTTTCTCCTCCTCTTTCTCCTCCTCCTTCTTCCACCTCTTCTCCTCCTCCTTCTTCCTTTTCCTTCTTCCTTTTCCTTCTTCGTTTAATATTTTCCTTCTTCTTCTACTCCATCTTCTTTTCCTTCTTTTTCTTCTTTCTGTGCCTGGGAGGGGAACATTGAGCCCAATCGCTGTGACCCTCAGTGCCTAATGTGCCTAATGTGGATGAGCAGGGACTAAAGACTAAAGACTAAAATCGATTTTAAGTTAGACTTAACTATGGCGGGCCATTCATGCCACTGATCGCTCTCACCATTGGTGTCTCAATTATGATCTTTAGATAACGTTTTTTCCTTCATTAAAGAATTATCAAAAAATGTAAATTCTGTAGATTTGTGACCATTATTAGTACGTCTCTTTAGAGACTAATGCCAGTAAATGGTGAGAGCAAACAGTGGCATGAACTGCCTGCCATAGTTAAGTCTAACTTAAAGTCGATCTTAGTCTTTGTGAAACACCCCCCCCCCCCCAGTGTTCCTCTACACTAGAGCCATTGCCCCTGTTCTTTAACAAAGAGTGCAGTGGCCCTGTGGGTTCTCAATGAGTGAAGATGGCGACTCGCCTCCACACAGGGCCTTTAACGTTGTATACACGGGACAGAGTGTTTTCCACTCTAACACAGCGTTTGTCTATGAAATAGGTAGGGGCACATTAACACTCAATGCCGGTTTCGGCCATTTGCATGTTCTTTGGTTGGTAAGGCAGATGCTTTACTGACTGTGCCAACTCGCCTTCTTAAGTTTAGTTTAAAACCTGAAGGTATGAATTATATTAGGACTGTCAAAAACAATAACTCTTAGAGATATTAGAGTTAGCCAGTGTATATTTGTGCTGTAAGTCAGTAACAATACAGGCATTTACTTTGAAAATTTGACACATCAGAAAATCTGACCAAAGTAGAAAAATACTGCGAAATAGTTTTTGAAATGTTTTCAGAAAGTACAAGTACCAGAGCTTTTCAATTGGCACAAGTGAAAAACAAGACTTTTCAAGTAATGTGGAAGTGCATCAGGTAGATTGGCTTTGTGGTTTCAGGACCCGACATACTTGTAGAATATGTTACCAATTTTCTCTGTACCTTTGTCAGGCATACATTACCATATGAGATTTGTGTTGGATATGACCTGTAATTACAGTAGGAAGATATTTCTGGACTGCTTGAGCACCTTGGCATGGAAGTTGGGGGTTCACCTATGCTTCGATTTGAACCCCACCTCCCTCCCCCTTCAGGAAAAAATATAAACAAAACCAATTTCCCCAAAAGCCAAGTTAGAATAGGGTCAAGCTTGGGTAATTGAATTAATGCACAGTATGGTATATATGTTTTGGAGCTGTGTAGTATAAATTCATAGTTTATTTCTTTTCTGTCTATCTTTTACCCCAAAGTAGGAACAGATAATGATGACGATGAAGACGAGGAGGAAGAAGACGAGGACGATGACGAGGATGATGCTGTTGTAGTGGAAGATATTGACTCAGATGAAGATTCAGGTAAATTCCATATTCTGATAAAACTTACAATGGCACAAGAATAAGGGCTTGGTCAGATCTGAGTAGAAATGACAATGATCGACTATGCGTGATGTAATTTAAGAAAAGTTGCCACACCTGGGCCTCATTTCACAAAACTCGTCATCAGTGACAAATGACAGTTTTTGTTATAAGCTAGTGTCAGTGAATTCCTTGCTTCTGATTGGTTATCAGCAGTTATCTCACTGATTTTTGTATTTTTCATTGAAAAAAGGCTTTGTGAAATGGGTCCCAGAAAAGTGAAATTGTGGTACTGTCAACCAAACACGATGGACATTGCCCTCATGACTTCTTCTAACTTACCTCAAATCGAAGGAGTAAAATCATTGGCGAACAGATAGTATCGCTTATGTCTGTCTAAGAAAACTGCTCACTCAGCGATCCCACCTATACAATGAAATTGTTGTGGGAGGCTCATTAGTAGAAAATTGTTGATGTCTGACCTACAACAATGATTTACTATCCATCTTCCCCCTTAAACACAGGGGAGCGATGTGGAAATGAATTATATTTCTAATTAGCATTATCGTTGTGTTTTAATCTCAAAACTTAAAATAAGTACCAACAGTTTCCCCAAATCTTAGTTGAATTGTAGAGGATGCATTTTTTCAATTCCAACTAACAGACTGAATGGAATGGTTCTAATTTTGTTACACTCCTTCCTTCACCTGTTTAATGGATTTAGAAATGAAGTCTATGCCACTTGTTAGTAGCAGAAGTATTCATATTCTACTGATTTTGTAATATTTGTCATTCATTTTCTTGAAGCAAGTAGAGATTGTGTTGGAGCAGGTAGAATTCTTGTGATGGCTGATACCCGTCCAAACACCAAAGGTTTTACAATCGAAATTAATACAATTGCAATTCAACATTGTAGCTCTGAATTATTCCTGTTGGAGTACAGGACCTTTAAAAATCCACTTCAAGCAGGTCATATAATACTCTGGAACTAAATCAATTTATTCATTGTTGTTCCTCAATAGATGATGATGATGATGATGACCCAAATCTTGATGACGATGAAGATGACGATGATGATGATCATGATGATGATCTCGATGACGAGGATGATGATGATGACGACGAGGATGACGAGGATGATGAGGTAGAAGGGAGTGACAATATTGGCCTCAACTACTTACAAAAGTCAGACCTGGGGGTAAGAGCTGTTTTAAAAGTTTTCAACCTGAGCTCAAACCCCAATTGACTGTGGTTTTCGGATGGATCTGATCTTAGTTCTCACAATCTATTACCAAAAAGACAACTAGCTGAGTCCAAATTTTTGAAAAGGAGCATTCTGGTTTTATATCCAAAAATATTAATTTTTGTACAGTAAAATGATTCTCTGTTTTATGATCAACATTGAAATATTCATTTCATCCTTAAAGCCATGGGAATATATTTATTTTGATAAATTACACAAATTTTAAATTTCACCCAGAGTTATTTCTTTTTAAATTGATTTATATACTGTGCCCCAAAATCATGAATTCACAAACTTCCAATTTGAAATTTTCTCCAGTATATTCAGATTAGCCTTTTAAAATTTATAAACTATGTGTGAGAAGTGAGGAGACATTTCCATCTGAAAATCAGCTTCACCCTAAATGCTTTTCTTGCACCCTAATCAAAGCTTTAACCGCACCCATACTCTGCTTCTAGATAACACTAGATTATACTTAGTTACTAAACACTAACCCTTGCGAAAATGCGAGTATGTATCCTCTGTTGAGTGCCAGAAGGGAGTTAACTCTGCTTCAAAGGATGTGACTTAACGCCTTCTGTCTCCCAGTAGATGGTAAAGTAAATTAAAATTTCCACAAAACATGAAATAAAGTGTACAAAATGATGCAATTACAATCAAATCAAGTGGATGGATAACATAAGTATAAATACTTATCTAGGTTTTCCCTAGGAAGACATGTGCACGCCATCAGTTTCTTCTTGTTGTTTTTCCTGTCCAGGGGGGTGTTTCACAAAACTTGTCATCAGTGACAAATGACGGTTTCTGTTATAAGCTAGTGAAATACTTGCTTCTGATTGGTTATACGCAGAATGGTCACTGATTTTTGTCATTTGTCGTTGAAAAAAGGCTTTGTGAAACACCCCCAGTTGTTTTGGTTGTCAATACTGTAAAAGCAGAACATTTTGTGTGCATACCGGGTACATTTTTTGTGAAATTTTCCCAAGTGGTTCAGATTTGCAAATGTTTCGTGCTGTGAAGTAATGGAATCACAACATATTCTAAATTTTTGTAATTTGCAAAAGTTTCTTGCCCTAGAAATGGCTTTCCTCAACAACTCGTGTATGTTTCTGCTTTATACCGTAATAATCAGGCCTGATCCATTTACCCGATTTAAATTGGTTTCCTGATTTTTAAATTTTTTTTCCTGATTTTTTTATCTTCCTGATTTTACCCCTATTTCCCATATTTGTCCCCAATTTTTTTTACTTAAAAGGGGGGAAATGTTGATAGATGCTATTTTTTTCTCTCTGAATCCTTTTTAGTCATTGGTTACTCAAGGGGGGGGGGGGGGGGGATGGTTGAGGAAAAAGAAAAAAATTAAGTGCTCACCATCACCCCTGATGAATGATTAAGACAATATACACTTATACAGCAATAGTATGTAAGGTCTGCATAAGAATCTTTGCTTCTTCGGGTACTATGTTACATGTATTTTTTTTGTGAGCACTATTACTTGTACATGTATATTCCTCTCTAACAAAACCAAATATCAGGGCTTTACGTGACACCAAGGAGTGGGACCAATAAATTATCAGAACTTAATTACTAGAGTTTTTGTTGTAACAATGAATCGTTTATAATAATAAGGTTTTACTCTACATAACATGGGTTCCTTGTAAAGCAACAGAAGAAAAAAAAGGGCAAGAGACAAGGGCTCTTTTGCATAAAACTTGCCATTCATGGTAATTTGCCATCAATGGCAACTACCATGGTAACTGGGCTCAACATCCAATCAAAATCAAGGTTTCCATGGTAGTCACCATCAATGGTAAGTTTTGTGCAACGGGGCCAGGGTCCAATTCCATTGTATTTGCAAGTGACTTGTAAAAGCCACATATTTGTGTGAGATGTACCAATAGTCTTGAGTTTCTTTAATGAAAGGAACAACCAGCTTTTTATTTACTTTTTTAATTTGCAAATTTTCATAGGATGACGACGAGGAAGATGAAGAGGACTACCAACCTGACAATGAGGTTGAAGTCGACGTTGATGTCGATGACGATGATGAGGAGGATGAGGAAGACGGTATGATAATTCCTCTTGATATTTACTTTTCGTTTAAAAAAAAATGCTTTTACATGAATATATGTCTAAGCCTCTAAAAATGATTGATGGGGTAAAGGACAGATCTACTTCTTTCATATTAAAAATGAGAAATGGCCTCTTGACTTGAGAGAAAAGCAAATCTAGAAGAATACTTACTGTTTTTCAATGGTAGTACATGCATTTGAATAATTTTTGCCATTGGTTGGAAGATAGAAAAAAAGAATTGATTCTCGTAAAGCGTAATAAAGAAACACTTAATGAAAGGCAGCCAAGAAATGTGGAAAGTAGGTTAGTGGAAAGAAATATTTGATTAAATGTGCAATTAAAATTAGAGTATAACTGATTATGTAATATGTATTACCCTTTCAGACCTGCCAACCAGTACAATTTAGTTGTGTTTTGTACAATTTTTAGAAGCAAACAATTATTTAAAAAAATTATATTTTTTTTATTATTATTATTTTTTTTTTTTGGTGTCATTTTTAATGGCAAAATCCCCATTCTGTCCTGTAAAGTATCCTACAAGCATCTCACATTGGCAATTTAGGGAAGTTTATAATTTGGTTCATCGGACACACCAGTCGTGACGAAATCATGCATATTCAACCAATGATTCATAAAATATGTCTTCCTGTATGTAGGAACTGTAAGAGGTATTGATCCGTGTAACAGTCCGTGTTTTTTTTAAAGAATACAACTTTTGTCAGTTAAATACAAATTTTGGGATTAAAGAATACGGTGTTTTTAACTCCAGAGGTTGGCAGGTCTGCCCTTTGCTTGTACTTTTTATGAAATGTGTACATATTTTCTTTTGACTGCAAACCAATTTTAATTTGATTTTTGTTTCTTTTGCATTAACAGAGGAAGGTGCAGCAAGGGGCGAAAAGAGGAAAAGGGATGAAGATGACGAGGGCGATGAAGAGGACGACTAGGGGCAGTGGATAAAGGGAGGGAGGGAGGGAGGGAGGTTCTTGATGGGGTGGAGTGCAGGTACTGGTACTACAGACTTATTGAGGGGGGAAAGGGGTGGAAACCCACTCATTTAGAGACGGTTTATCATATTTAAAACAAGATTATTAAAATGCTGGAATCTGCTTTATCCTTGCATTCTAGATTAATTAAATAACATATTATCAGAGTATCCATTCCAGAGTTACGTTTACAGAGTTTTGTTTTAATAACTCTACGAAATATGAGTATTATATTGAAATAATTATTTCAAAACATAATACCCAAACATAGAGCCAAACGTGATAACGGGGGTTCAGAATGCCCCTGACGTAGTGGAGACTGTTTGATATTGATCCATCATGCTTTCTCTGACCTGACATTCATGAAATACTTTGCCTTGCATTGAACATGTCGCCAAAGTTGATGATAAGTCACAATGCAACACAGTGGCATCAGAGTGCAGAAATATAACTGCTGCTCATTGTCGTCTACCAGAATTCTGAATTACCGACTTCAACATAAAATGGTATATTTCCAATATTTAGCGAATGGACTCTTCTCCTGCACTCTCTACACTCTCAGGTTATTGTGTATCTGCACCCAATCTAACAAGTTGATTGATAACGTTTCATTTATTGATGTGCTATATTCATTGGATAGGTTTGCCAATTTGACGTATTAAGCCGTAGCGTCTGGAATTATTTTTTACAAGGTATTATAAATCAAGACAATCCACTAAAGTCCAGTGTTGAGTCAAACTTTGCGCTGGATCTTTAGCAAATTTCCGTTGTTTAATAGTACACAGATAATTCAAACTGAACGTGTATGAACCCATTAAGAATTGGTACTACAAAGCTTATTTATGAAGCTTATATATAGTGAACTTCTTTACCATCACCTGGTCACATTATGTTTTTCAGTATGATGGATAATCGATTCAGTCAAACTGGAGACAGTCGGTCACTAAGAACAATGTCAAAATGAATTTGATTTTTGTAAGGGAAGTTAGATTTATCTTAATGACACTACGCAGTTTTGACATGAAGATGTCTCTAGCATTCCATCATGCCAGTTTTGTGAAGCTGATTTTATAGTGTAATCATGACTTTTGTCTTGTATATTTGTAATTTCATCAATATTATTGTTTTTTTATACGTAGCTCCTCATTTTGGTTCTAAGATTCGGTTGACTCTATGCTAGGGATGAAAAGTGCTGCACATGACCAGAGTAGTAGGGTGTATAGCTAGGTTTGTTTGTGGAATTTAAGTTTTCTCAAGAAGTTTGCTTCCGACTGATGTGCATACTAATAACTGTAAATAATTGTTGCCCTGTCAAAATCGTTTCACCGATAGTCCCGACCCTGATCATTAGATGCCTGACAAGCATTCACAGTTTCCTAATAGCATACAACTATATTTCAATGCAATACTCCTCCAACATAATATCTGTACCTCTGAAAATAAATTGTGTTGGTTGCTACAAAATTATTTGTGGGATTCAGTATTATTTCTTGTAATTTGATTGAGATGTAAATGTCCTATTGTATTCCCTCCAAATTGTACTTTAAATATTCCTCATCAAAATGAATGTATACAATGATTACTGAAACAAAAATGGAGAACTTTGCATGTTGTCTCAAAACTAAATACATCTAAAAGATTCTGTGGTTGGATGAATACCCCATTTTTATATATATATTTGATATATTGACCAAATTTCAACAACAAAACAAGTTTGTGGGAGTGTAATTTATTAAGTTTCCTAAACTGAAGGTGTTATTTTAAATATTTTGGTAGTATTCATTGAATGTGACGAGTAGGCCAACGAGTTTGATTTGTTTATTTGTAGTACTTGTTATGCGACATCCTTTTAAATTTGTGTAAATTTAAGAGGAAAGATTGAATTGCATAAATGAAATAGGAAATGTTGGAATTCATCCTCCCTGTACTTCTGACCAAGAAATTGTTTTAAGAAAGGTATTTTGTTGTAAATTGCCAACACATCTGATTATGAATGTAAAAATGATAGTCGAGGGAAAAGGAGTGATGAAAATGGGTAACTCCATTAAACAATTTTTGTATGTTGCCTTTCTATCTATATTTTTCTCATGTATGTGTGGATTTTTTTCTATTTTATTCTTTTTGAGATTTACAAAAAAAATCAAATGTTTATATGATGATGATGTTAAAGGCAAGATTGTTCCACCGCTCTCTCTGTAAACCTGTTTCGTGTTCAGTACATGTTATTTATCATGTATTGGAGGGAAAAAAAGGCCTTTTTTCATGTTCATGTATAAAGTGTTTTTCATACAAAATTTCCATTGATGGCAAAAAAAAATGTTAATATTTCAGAAAGGACTGTTCCCCCTGCCTCATATTCTTGATGTCGCTTATGTCATGTGCAGTGCGCAACCTCCTGGAGCTAACATGCCACAAAGACTCTGCATGCCTTTTTGCTTTCAGAGAGGATGCACATTGCTGGATAAATAGCCACATCACTTATATATCGGCAGGCTGAACACTCCTTAGATGTTTCTTACTATGTACAGATTAGTTGTTCATTAGCCAACGAGAGAGAAAGACAAAAAAAAATGAACATAACAAAGTACTTGCTTCTTGTGTACATGTGGAATTATATGCACACAACACAAGAGGTTGTGCATCAAAAATCATTGTCTCTTCTTGTGTGTTTAATCATGTGTAGCAACGGGTAGAGTGGAACCTCATTAGAACCAAGTCCTTTGGATCAAGGAAAGTACATTGTCATATTGAAAACTTGTTGGTGAACCAATGTTTTTGCTCCGAGCTTATTTCATGAAGGGTATGTAGGGTTAGGGTTAGGTTTTCAACAGAGTTTTAGAATAGGTTTGGGGTTAGGGTTAGTAATAGTGTTGGGTCCAGTTCTGTATGTGTTTGGTGTTGGAAATTGAGATGGTGCAGGAGTGAGTGTTGTACAACCAACCACATTATATCAGGACTCAAAACCAATTCAGTACATAGAACTGGGACTGGCAAAGTTACTTTGTTTAAATGAGAGATTACAGTAGTTTTCTTTTTCACCAGAAGGGTTTCTCTATGATGAGGTTCCATTGTATTTTGAGAGCATGAGAGGGGAGAAAAATAATGCAGCAATGTGTGTGTGTGTGCTCTCACCTCAGCATTCTTGTGGGGTTTTATGTGCGCTTCACATACCCCTTGTGAGGCATTTTTACTTTGTGGGGTATTTTTTCAGGACCCCACAGAGTAAAGTCTTTCAAATGACTGTATATTCGGTGTCCTATGCCCTGCGGGGCATTAGAAGTGGTACCCCATAAATGACTTTTTGTGAGCGTGTGCTAAAACTTGCACACTTTTTTATGGTAACATCGTAAGCACACCGCCGGGTTGTTATCGCCAGGTTGTACATACCCCACTAGTAGGGGACCACAAGGTATATCTGGAACGCACAGAAATACCCCACAATCAGGTGCCCCACAAAGGCCCTGATGTGAGAATGTGTGTGTGTGCGTGTGTGTGTGTGCGTGTGTGTGTGTGTGTGTGTGCCGGGAAAAGAGTCAATAATGGAAATGTTCAGCCTGTTTTTGATGAAATATTACTTCACCATGAGCATATGATTTTTCTTTCTTTCTTGCTCGGGATTACATACCCAAAACATGGGAGGAAGAGGGGAGGAATTTCCTCATAGATAGGCTGCCATGGGGGATTCCTGTAAGAGTTGTGAAATACCATAACATGTGGAAAAGGTGTTGGAGGACTTGGGACTAATCGAGAGAGATACTTACAACTACTACAGTGTAGATGTATATTGAGAAGTTAAATATTTTTTAGGCCGGGGTGGACGGAATGAGATGTTTGAAATTTATGATTGGAGATAGTATCAGTCCTTGTTAAGGGGGGAGGGGGTATTTAAGATATCCTTCCCTAGATCCGGATAGTAACGTTAATTTGACTGTTGTTCTTGTACTCTCGTTCTTGATAAACTGAGATATTAATAATTATATTAGTAGCTAATCTCCGCAGTTCTTTCTTGGGCAAGGAGAGAAATATCCCCTTTGAATGTTGATGGGCTATAGTTGCGATGGGATGGGTAGTGGGAGCTACATGGGAAGGAGATCATGTTGCGAGGAGGGGCATACATGGATATTTCATGCAGGCCTAACACACAAATGGAAAGGGATGTCCCCATTTGTGTTGTTGAGCGAGAGATATGAGGGAGAGAGAGAGAGAGAGAGAGAGAGAGAGAGAGAGGAGGAGGAGCGGAATTAAGGGATAGAGGGAGAGAGAGAATCATTGTGTCATATACACTGGCGTACTGATGGAAGGGGTGGTTTATGTCTAATTCGATACCAGTGATTTACAAAATGTTGCTGAAACGACAATTTTCGTTTTTCTTTTCTTTTCTTTTCTTCTTCTGCCCCTTAAAACTGAAGTTTTTGCTCATTACGCTACTGGTCATAACACTACCGTTCGCTAGTATTCCGGTATACAAACGACTTCATGGGAAAGGCAGAATATGCTGAAAGTATGCAATTCTCCATAAAGGCAAATGGTATTGCTTTTTAAGAATGTTCAATATTAAAGCAATGATAACGACGGTTGCCCCTGATCGATGAGTGCACGATACTGGAAAAAAGACAGAATGACCAAAGATTGCTTCTCGTTCTCAGATGGAAATCATAGAAGAGCACTTAATTATATAGAGGCAATATTCACATGACACCCGAAAGTCGGTGCCAATACGATAAGTTATCATATTGATTAAAGGAATGGGGCGTATAATGTCCCCTACTCGGCTGCTCCTTCCAATATATCCTCTCCACCTTGAGAATCTTCCATGTGCTATAAAGGCCTGCATCTTAAAGATGATCAGTACAATGTATAATTATATCCTACAATAATTTATTCATGATTTAATTGATCATGCCGTACATAATGACCACAATACATTCTTGACACTCGTATTTGCTCAGAAAGAACAGTTCATAGTTCAAAATCTGCGATCATATTGAAGCACATGGCGCTATAATAAGTGCAAACTGAAACCGGGAAATGTTGACACAATCTATATATGGTTTTATACAGTGGCAGAGTAAGACATTTTACTGGGGGCAGTCAAGAGGGAAGGGGCGACATAAGGGTTAGAGGCCAGCAGTCAACGGGTTCCACAATAAATATTATTATAAATAGTCAATTTTATACTTTTTAGGATTAAGACCAAATTTATAGAACTTAGATCATAGAAAATTCGGGAAAAGTACACAAATTATTGGAATCAACATTACGGTATAGAGATAATCTCATGAAAAGAGACAAATCCGTGAAATCCTTTATAATCACTCCTGTGATTAGGAAATATTACTTTTCTCAACAATAATTTCTCCTTTTTGTTGCTATACTAAACGTTGGGCACATTGCTTGAAACTTCCCGGAAGGGATGTATTCGGCAGGCTTATAATATAGTGTTTATACGTTTTGAAGACAAACCAAGAAACATTTCAAATATTTTCACTAAACCATTCTAACTTGTTTGTTCCTCTTCTTTTGTGAGACAATAATAATTATGATTGACATCATGCGTGTTCTAATCCCAATTCGTCTTCGATGAGCGCATCACTGCTCTATCCCTTCATTAGTAATTGAATTTGACGAGAAAACTTTCCTAACTGATGGAAATACAAATAGATTTAAAAATAAACTAGTAAAACTATAATAGTTAAAGAATTTAGATCACACTGTTTTGAAAATGTACATGTGTATTTGTAATCCTCTCCCCCTCCTCCCCCTCCTCCCCCTTCTCCCCCTAGTGCTCTCTCTCTCTCTCCCGCTCTCTCGGCTCTCTCTCTTTTTTTTTCTCTCTCTCTCTCTCTCCCTCCTTCTCTTCATCTTTGACTTATATCACTAAACTTTCACCTATACGTATAGTTTCAAGACCATTGTCATGGGAGGTTTTGAGCATATTCCTACTACAGCCGGTATAACGACATTTTATAAGGAGCGGAACCATAACATCATTATAGTAAACTTCAAGTTCATGAAACGCATCACATACCCCACATACCATGTGCAAAGTACAAGATTATCTAATTTAATTTACATTTTCCAAACAATGCCGATTAAAGTGAGAAAGAAAAAAAATTGTGTGAGGTTTTTATTCCACTATATACGTGTCCACCGTGATCAAAATCTATTCAAATTCTGAATATTTATGACTATTCGCACTTACAGGATGTGCATTAGGGAGATGGGGGAGGCGGGGACATGATGTTTATTAACCCGTGACACCCCTGAGTTGTAACATGCAAATCCCAATCACTCATCGCTCATATATCACTATCACCGTTCTGAATGCCTACGTTTCCTCCAGCCTACGTGAAGAAAAGAGAAGCAAAAATGGCGCTCTCCAGGCTTAGCACGCTCGTAGTCAGACGATCATTTGGAACTTCTGCGAGGAGATTTGGCGCTCATTATGGAGAAGGACCTGGAAGTGTAAGTTCCTTTGATAATATTCTTAAATTCGGATATTAAAAAGATGTATTTCTTGTGGAACGTCAATCGTGTGATTATAATTTGGAAGTCATAGTTCCTAACAAATCATTGCTATTCGTGCTCCGATAGCTGCGAAACAAGGTTGACTCATAAGACTCAAAGGTCAAATTATGTCTATATTGAATCATAATAATTGATTATAATACTAGAATAATACATATTTGACAGTAACATATTCTTATGAATGTATATATCTATATTCAGTAAAGTTATTTACTACTAGTGGTCGAAATCTTAAAGTGTTTTTGTCAATTATATACTTGCTCACGACAGGTCGGCGGTGAAATGAATTAAGTAATAAATTCGCTGCTTAATTTTTGTTAACACATTATAAATCCAGTTATATTACACATTGTCCGTTATTTTCGTTCAAGTACATGCATAATTTTCTTATTATCGTTAAGACTTCCCAAATCCCAAATCCAAATTTCAAGTCACATATGTTTATAGCATGACGTCAAGTGCACCGGAGTATATCTGTGACGATGTTTCTTTGGTCATTGCATTATAATTCCATGTGATAGAGTATAATTACGAAAAATAATAGTATAATTCACAACCTATATTATAAAAATAAATATTAGGCTTTTCCATGTAAAGGATTACTCACTACTCACTAGTCACTACTCAATAGGATAATAAGTATCTTCTGACTAAAACCTCTTAATCATTTTAGGGAGGATGAAAATTGCGTTGTTGTAAGTATATATTAAAAACTGCTGAAATTGTTTAATCTTCCGACTTTTGTTCCTTTATTGTAGGATTCTCCTTTCCCAATCTCTCCACATTCCTCTGTCTTCTCCAGTCTGTATCGTCTCCAAATAAATGTTCTTTTTAATTCTTATTCTGCTTTCGATAATAATTATCGTTATCATGAAAATTTCAAATAATATTTGAAGTGCTTTGTCATGTTTTAACTGCAAGGAATAAAATACCCGACAGTAAATACATCCATGAATTGTGTTATATAATCCTTATCAATACTACTAACTCGATATGATCTGTCATAGCAGCTAATAGTCACGTGATGCCGAGCACCACATCAGCCATATCTGGTAGCCGCGCTATTGATTTATGAAAGATAGGTGGCGTCACACAGAAAAATCCCTTAATTTTTTTTTCTTGCTTCGTTAGTTTTGATGGGATAATTGATGACAGACAGCAATTAAGAGGATAACTAAAATCCAGTTTTTTGGCCTCTGTGTGACACCACCTATTGCCATATTTTGAATATGGGTGACGTACAATAAAATTTGTGTTGTCCTTTTAAATCGAATTTCATGTCTGTAATATGGAATAAACTATACGAATATGATGTTCTTTACGCAATGACTAGAGGAGATAGCAATATTTCTTTCAGAGAAATATTATTGTTCTAATATAAGGTCAACTTTGTATATGACCAGTTTGAAGTTTTCAATTTCTTGTTAACTAAATCACATATTATCATCTTTTTGATTATGTTTGTAGAATGTGCCATTTCAAACCCAGAATAAGTGGCGGTTACTGGCTGTAATGACAACGTTTTTTGGTGTTGGCTTCACTGCACCCTTCCTTTTGGTAGCCCATCAAATGAAGAAGAAATAAACTTCATCACGCACGACCTCAGGAGATTGTAAGGTATGACAAAATGGAGATAGGTTAACTATTTCAACATCCCAATTAAACCAGTGGCGTACGTAGCGTTGGTTCAGATATTGAAGGAGGGGGCCGGGGGGGGGGGGGTACTGCTGTTATGAGAGGGGGCACAATGCGAATGAACAAGGCCATCGATTTGTACAGTATAGGGGTGTGTGGGATGAGGTTGTCTTATCTTATGTACACAGTCTTTCACCCTTCTTCCTCTACTCCCATCTATTTTACTCTTTTCATTATTTCCCCCGACCTTTCGGGATTCGATGGAAGGGGGTGTGGCAGCTGCACCCCTGTAACCTAATCTCAGTACAATGAGGAGTGGAAATGCCACTATGGGAGAAAAACGAAGAAGAAACAGAACAGAGAGAAAGAGAGAAAGTGGCATGGTCCAAAAATAAAGTGGGATTCAGGAGAAGAAAAGAAGATCATAAAAAATGGTGAAGAAGATAGAGATGGTGAAGAAGATGAAGGTAATGAAGAAGAAGAAGAAGAAGAAGAAGAAGAAGAAGAAGAAGAAGAAGAAGAAGAAGAAGAAGAAGAAGAAGAAGAAGAAGAAGAAGAAGAAGAAGAAGAAGAAGAAGAAGAAGAAGAAAAAGAAGAAGAAGATGGTCAATAACATGAAGGAATAATGAAGGAGAAGAAGAAGAAAAAGAAGAAGAAGGAGAAGTAGAAGGAGAAAAAGAAGAAGCAGATTTTTTCCCCATTCAAAAATGGTTTCGGACTGTATCGATAAAACTATAAACTCAAGAAGTTTTACTCTCCATCTTTATTTTTTCTGAATGAAAGTTGTGATAGATCTGAAATGAAAAGCATAACTGCCGGCGAGATTCACAATTATCATAATCGACGTCGAAGAATAATAAACCAATAATTTGTTTAATATCAGTCTTTCTTAAAATCCAAATAAATTTCTTCTTATACGAGTATGGTAATGCCAACTTTATCATTTTTTAACACTCTCTGCCTATCTCTTCCTCTCTCTCTTCCAAACTGCCCCTCTCTCTCCCTCCTTCCCTTCCTCCTCATCCATCTCTCTCTTCCCTCCCCTTCCCGGCGTCCCATCTCAAGCACCCCCCCCCCCTCTCTCCTACCAACGATATACAGATACGACAAAATGACCCGATGTGCTTCAAGTTCAGGATGCCTCGTCCGAGATTACGCCCTCTCAATGATGTCTTTCACCCCTGTCTCTCAGTGTCTCTCAAGATTCCTGTTTTCCCCAAGTCTGCGCAACCCATCTCTACACCCCAATCACGCCCCAAGTCTGCACAGCCCATCTCTACACCCAATCACGGAATAAAAAGAGAGAGACAACCACTTACAGATTGAGAGCGCCACTTTATTTTTTACCTCCATGACGTCCAATGACATGACTCAAACATTAATTTAGCACATTATAGCTAATTACAGTGACATTTTCATTTCAAATGTAGCTAGCTGTACATTTATGTAAAACTCAGCGTTGTTAAACATTACTTATTGTTGTAAAATAACTTCTTTTACATGAAGTGTTTATTGACATTTGAAAAGAAATGGATTATAGGTTTGATTAAAGTTATTCACACTATTGTGAGTAAATATCTTATTTCAGAGAGAAATCATGTTGCATTTTATTCATATGAGAACTAGAAAAGTTGCATTGCTATAAAAATACATCCATATTAGAATGAATTGTGCAGTGAATGCATGAGGTTAGTCTTTGGCAAGAGGTGCACGAGTTGAAATACTGCTGCATGGTCCATACTCGATTCGTAATGAGTGATTAAAATACAATATACATCTATACCGTGTATGAAGTCTAAATAATAAACAAATATTCAAAATAAATGTGTGGAGAATAAGAAATCTCATATGTTGAAAAGTAATACCACATACATTATAGTGTAGAATTAAAAGAATAAAGCAAACAAAATTGCAGAAGCTGAATATACTTTCATATCATATCTTCCTCCAAAGAATACTTAATAATATGCAGATGTGAAGTTTTTGATTTACACATTACACATTGCATCCCTTTGTTATGAGTGAGAGATTAGAGTCCACCACCTTGTTACTCTGTTAAGATCCAGAGTTTTTAAGAGAAGTAGTTAAGCTTTCAAAAAAAAAAGACAGTGTCAACTGGAAAACCTTGCTCATAATTTACAAGCAAGCCTTAAAGCAGCATACATGGACTGGTTTTCATCAGAACATTGTGAGAAATAACACAAATAGGTAACTTCAAGAGAGAGTGGCAACCAACGAAACCGCAACAATATACATGCATATAGGAGAATTAAGGTTTAACACATATGTGAATTAAGTCATTTATAATATATTCATCTAATATTACATGATGTCAGAAAATTTTCTTTTACAAAAGACAATAAAAAATGAAAGAATTATTCATACTATATTATTCATACTATTTCATGAAAAGGAAATATGAAAGAATAAGTTGAAAGAAAAGTAATATATTGAAGGACCACAGTTTAGAGAGGGTTAAAGTTACACCACATAATTATTCAGATAAAAAAGATCAGTTCATATCTTAACAATACATCTTCTGTTCAGAGCCAGAAGGACGTTAACTCTCTGTTAAAGTATATGAGTTAATGCCCTTCTGGATCCAAACAATCAATTTATTCTAAACAAGCAAAGAGACCGTACAACTTGATAGAAAAGCATGAATGCCATCACTTAATCTAATAATATACAATCTATGGCAAAATATACACATTTGAGAATTTACATCTTCGATTCAATGCAAAATAATACAATCATATTGCTAGTACTTTTATTACTTTTTTTCTAATGCCAACTCAAACTTGTCCTCACATATAAGGTGTTCTACAAATACGAGCACAGCAAAACACATCACACTGATTAAGCAATATTTGTACTGTTACAAGCACACACACATTTTACATCTATAAATATGCACTGTAAAATTGATTGGGTAAAAGACCGCCCATTATGACGATAACGACGTGTCTAACCAACTTCGATTCAATTTCATGCCCAACTTGTGTAATGCTTTGCTCAGTCCTCATCCCCTTTAAAAAAAAAAAAAATGCAAGAACTTGATTGATTTGGCATACAATCGCCTAAAAGTTGGTAGGACACCTTCAACTTGGCACTTTTTTATCAAACAAATTTTGACAGTATGGGCAGTGCAATGACCTGCCGTCTCACTCATTCTTTCAAATGATAAACTACAAGGGAATGTCCAGAAGTAAGTAGAATGGGCATTCATTTCACTCTACATCGCTATGATTGATTTTCTCACAGCCAGAAGATTTTTCACTCTTTTTATTCAACATATTATTAATGCCCTTGTGGCTCTCAATGGGCGAATAATTCCAGCTTGAAAATCTTGTTTAAAAATCCACATGATCAGATGACAGACAACCCCCAAACACACAAACAAACAATTAAAGAAGAATAAATATTTAGAGCACCTTGTCACTGCTTCAGTTGTGAATTCCATATCAAGTTGTTAGAAGAATAAATTATATTATCCTCAATTCAATCATTCCTTTTAGCAATCATCCTCATCTGAAGATTACTTACAACCTCTTCACAAAATCTGTGCTGAGACATAATACTGAGAAACACGGAAACACTTACACTAGGCTAACATTCTACATAACATCACTAGACAACCATTTAAACACTACATCTATAACAATTAGACATACATCAAGAATTGTGCACACTTGTCATCATATTGCTTGGCAATACACCCTCATGAAATATATCTATCAACAATCCATATTTTGGGCAGATTTCCAATTTTTCAGCACTTTTGAAATTTGAATCACTTGTACCATGAGATTAAAAGAGACCCAATTAACAATGAAATTGATTTAAAATTCACTTAGAAATAAACAGGCAATATGTTTTTCTTTTTACAATTTTTCAGTTTGAAAAACACTGCAGTTTTTCTAATAGTTGGTTACCATTTGCATTACCACGGTAATTAGTCCATAAGAGGAGCAGATTTAGTCCATTTTGTTAAATGGAGAATGATTAACACAATGAATCCAGCAAACAGACATCCGTCTATTGCAGATTTCTTTCCAGCTAAAGCAATGGAAATGAGCATTCACTGATGTGAAATAGCAAAACATCGTGGGCCGCTCATTTACTAACTCATCTTGTATTTATTTTAAACATTATCCTTTTCAATGGAACATTTAAAGTTAATTTAAAGTTTGATGTCCACTTTATCAAAAGCACACACATTGTGACACGGTACATGACAAATAGCCGACTACCAACAGTTTGACTGACATATATAAACACGGATACTAACAACATAGAACATACAAGTTTAAAAGTCATAGATAATACTGACAAGAAAAAACAACCTTTGTTTATGAACTCTCCAGGAGTCACCAAGCTGAATCAATTCAGCCTGAGTAGCTTTTTACAAAATTGTATAAATTACAGCATAAAGAAGAGTTTATTTCATTAACAATGAGAACTATAGAAAACCTGATTTCTAAACACATAAAGAATATACAAATCACAGAAATAGAAGATAAAGAATTTTGTAACAAAATGTACATACCAATATGAATAAAATGTGTTATGCTTTGGTTCAGTTTTTCTCAGTTATCCAATTTACAATTTGAAAGAAGAAAAGAAGAATTTCAGGTGACAGCCTCTTTCTCCCTTTCCTTATTCCCTTTGAACACATATAGACTTGCAACTTCAAAATGCATACCAAATAACCAATGCCCCTACTTTTCAAGTTTTCATTTTTTTTTTTTACCTCCTTCCATCTACAGAGACTAATGATGAAAATTTGATAAAATACACAACAACTGTTCCCATCTTGCATTAAAACTGCGTCCTATTTCTATATGCAAACATTGCAGGGAAAGTCCAGGAATCAGAATACTTTATGTAACAAAAGAATTGAGTATACTCCATATAACATGACATTCACATCAAAGGGATTAGGAGATAATAAAGAATGGGGTAAGAATATTAAAAGAGAAAAATAGACAAACATAAATGAAAATTATATATCCAAACAAATTAGGAAAGAAAGAAATGTTTTGTAATGTTTTAAAAAAAGTTTAGATATTCAGCAAATTTGAAAGATTATCATGTAAACAGTAACTGTCATCTAATCTTTAGCATACACAGTTACATATTGTGTTAATCAATACATTTAGTGTAATTGAGTTACATGTTTCATCATTTTAATGGCAGTATAGTAATATTTCTCTTCCAGAGTAAAACATTGAAATACAAAGAGGTATATAAGCCCCCAATTTTATGTTACATCCTTAACAACATGTATACGGGGAAAGAGTATATCAATAAGAAGTTGAAAATATACAGAAAATATGGCACATGAAGAAAAAGGCAAGTAATTAATTAAATAAGAAATCTCCTACAAATATTTAAATACCTTTGGTAAAGAGAGTAATTCATGAATTTTTCAGGCAGAGATAATAAAGAATTTAAATCGTATCTCTTATTTTTTATACAATAATATATAGTCAACATATATACAAACATATGGTTAAGTACCCATTTTCAAAAGTTTGGTATATCTTTTACAGGTATGACTATGTAGGAGTATTCAGGATACAAATATAGCATTTTTTGCTCCTGAAGATGTGATTAATTTTGGATTTCATTGAAAGTAATACATCAGGTTTTGTGCTTTATTAACGGTCTTGACATAATACTTCAATATTGATGTTAATACGTTAATACTTTTACAAAGAATCAATTCAATGGTTCTACACTGACCTTATCTAAGACAAAGTAGAGTCAAACTTGAAGGAGACTTATTAGCCTCTTGGAATCTTTTACTCTTCTTTTTTTTTTAAAATCAGTCATGTTGCATTTAAAAACTATAGTTTGCATGAGTACCTGCAATTTGTGCATTGCAGAGACTTTAATAATTACAGTAATTCAGGTATATTACATAGGCAGGTCCATTGAGTGCCATATAATTTGGTACAAGCCTTTTCTCAGAATTTTGCATATTAACCATATTGCACACTACCAGGTAATGAATTCTTGGGGGAACTTTTCAATTCCATTCAAAGGCAACCACCCCCCCCCCCCCCCAACATATGTGCCATTAAAAAAAACGAACCCGAAGTAATAACTTTACTTATTCTGAGAGATTTTATTATATTATTGCCCATAAATCTACAAGATTCCCCACCAAAGTTTATGAGAGAGGTATTAAAGCAAAAATAAAGTACAGTTTCTCAGAACGACATGGGCATCGCCATTTTCTTGATAATGTGACGTACTATGCGAAGTCGTTTATCAAGTAAATGTATTCAAATTTATGGATGCTTCTTTTCCAGACGTGTGTGGTGATGAAGCATTTCATTCACCTGGTATTATCCTTTGTACTATAATTGCCAGAATGCAAATTGCATATAAGTTAGTGCTCTTCTGGGGTGAAGGTTTCTCATAAATGAAATAGATTTGTCAACTGCTATAGTGTAGTATTTATAAATGATTTTTGTTACAATTGTGCCCCTGTGTTTTATTTTTCACCTAATATAATTTTTATCATCTCAGTTATTATTTTTTTTTCATTGATGTTATGCGTAAGTAAAGGGTTCGTTATTGATTTAAAAATTCTTTCCAACTAAAACTTGGTGCATGATACATGTTCAACTTCGACAGGTACGTCACATTTTCAAGAAAATGGCTGCACCCATGTCATGCAGAAAGGCATCACATCATGCCAGGAATATCTTCATTTATATATATCTTGTACATTTTCGTAAGGAATACATCTCATTTTTCAGAATACCTACACTTATTCTGTGGGTTTAGGTTTCCTTTAACCATTCATCAAATAACTAGCATTACCTCATTATTCTCAGTTACAAGAAAGAGAAAATGACAAATTATGTTGATATAAACAGTTTTCTAAATACGATAACATCTGCATCTTTTTATCAGAACTAGCAAGGCGGGAGTAATCCGAAATGTAAGGAAAGTATCATTCATGTATTTGTACAAATGATATCGTATTTTGTGTTCCATATCATGAGGGAACCAAAGGAAATGCAATTTAAAATAGGCATTTCCTCCAAATTTTACAATTAACATTATCAGCAAGCACCTTAAGAAGCATAGCACGCACCAAGAAACATTTGCAATGTGAATATGCAATATTACATCAAAATCCAGGTCCCCTAATCTATCTCTGATAACACAATGAATACATCAGGCAAGTATAACTTATAACATGAGTTTAAATGCATTTGAGTTGTAGGTACTTATAATGAGGTGGGGTTAAAATAAAATGCACATAAATATCTATGAAAATAATGATGAGAATACAATTCAGCAAAGGAAAAGGATTTATATTGTATGTGTAGACTGGGCCAGAAAGGCTTCAACTCATCTCATTTCACACAGAGTTAAGACTCGTCTGGCTCTCAGCAGTCAACATTATTCAGGATTTTCACAACATACATGGTTACGCTTGGTTACGCTTACATCAGCTCGCTAATGAAATCACACACTTGAATGAGGAAAACCATAATACTTCATTTCAGCCTCCATCACAGTCCAACTTACTGCTTTTTGTGCTGGATGACATTTACCCATCCTGCTTTAGTCCCACCAACTGCTGGCTATGTTGGCAACCCCTTACAGGCCCCTATCTGGTACTTCCTCATGACATCAGATACAAACTCAAGACGAGTCACACGATTGGTCAATCTGCTGATAGGATCGCTGAGGAAACGGGAGTTCTGCGTCGACATCAGATGAGGGATGTGGATCACCCATGCGTCTGGGAGGACTACAAAATCATATCTAGAAGGAAAAAATGGTAATATATAATAAGTCATTTTTGTTTGTAGCACCAATTTAGTGTGTTTATCTTTGGGGACTTTAAATATTTTGTAGGGTGCCCACCAGAAGGCTGTTACTACTACTGACAATACACATATATTATATATATTATATATATAAATATTTGTTACGTGAAAATCTTGCAAACTGTCAATAACATCCCTTTTGGTATCAAGAAGCTTTTGAGAATCAAAACAATTTCAGTTTATGATTGGACATATATTTGACAGTAATTGCTCATGAAAGTTTTGCAAATCTACACCAGGCATAAAGCCACAAAAGATTCTTTTTAGATTGTGCAGTATCAAAAACTACTGCAAAATGATTACTGTAACCGACATTGTGTACTTGGCTTTATCTGGTAAAATCCAAAAAATTCATATTAGAGATTAAATAATACATTTAATGGGGGCAGGGAAGGGGGAGGGGGAGGGGGGGACTATTATCTTTTAGCTAATGAATGTAAGATGGTCTTACCCTGCTGCATGAAGCTCCAAGATGTGAGTGATCTTATTCATACCATACCCTGTAAACCTCTCATCATACATAGGCATACCAGATTTCCTGTCAAACAAATTGTTAAAGTATGAGACATTTCAAGGCAATTAAGTCCCCATGAGTCCCCAGCAGAGGCAGATACTGGTGCTACATTTATACAAGATTCTATCAGCACCATCATCATCGACTTCATCATCAAATATCACTTTGGTGCTAGATGTCAATTCAACATCGACTCATACTACAATGGTACGAATGAAACCGATGATAAAGAAATTTTTAGATAGTCAGATTGATCTCTCCACCAGAATAAAGAATTGTTTCTTTTCATTCATGTAATGTTAGAGGTCTATTCCTTGTGAAATCATATCATTTTAGAAGTTCAGATAACTGAATGACATATTGTGAGTCTTGTACATAACTACCGGGTATAATATATGAAGTCATCTTAATCGAATGTGATCACAGATAAAAGATCATGATCATCTTGAATGAACATCTTACTAGAATTTCAAAGAATTATTAAACAAGAAGTAAGTGTACTCACTGTAAGATGAGATAAGGTTCATATTTATCTTCATAGTAAGATATCTTGTAAGGCTCGTTTGCCATGTACCACTGCACATAGTTGGTTGGTCGATGTGATAGGGGAGACTCGTAGAAACCTGAGCGCAAGGTGGTTAAGAAATCGTATCATACCGGTACTCAAATATTTAACTCGATGCAGACTTAATGCCTTTCTGGCTTCAAATAGACATTATATTCATCGATACGACTTATATTCTTACTTTTATTTTATTTTTCTCTATTCATGACATCCAATGTTCACTTTAATAGACCATCTACTTATTCTTTTTCCAATACCATGACCTTCCCTTCTTCCCCACCACCTCCTCCTTTCTTCTTCCCCTGTTCCCCTCCTCTGTTATAAGTCATTTTAATATGTAAAACAAAAATGCAAATAATTTTCAATTTATTGATTCCTTTACAGCGACCCATTTGACTATATTGCAAAAAAAAAGGGGAGGTGATTGTGATTTAATGATCCTTCAAATATTATCCTACAATTATAACTATTTGCATGACAACAATCTCCAGGAAAGGATACGAAATATAGAAACTGCTGGTAAGTCTTGCTTCATGAGGCTAATGAGTTCATCTTTGGTACTTGGTAAACCAGCTTGGTCCTACAAACAAAAACATCACAAGAATATAGATTAATATAATGGAGTAATACCTCCATGTATGTCCAATAAAAAAAAATTGACAATTACAAATTCATTTTCAAAAGTTAATGATTTTTGTTTAAATGTATATCTCTGTTATGTATAGAGACGAGGGGGTATTACTTCATTGGCCTACATATTTGCTGTGCAGACTTGTACACCCATTGATGGTATTTCCACCAAGTCTGGTGTCAGTGAATGATGAATTTCTGCACATGGAAACTCACAACCCATTGCCATTAATGTTCCTCTGGCTCTCAGTAGATGAAATCATCCATCAAAATGGGCATATGCTCCAAATTTCACATATTCTCACCTGCTTTTCTTCTATGTAATCAAATGCAGGAACAACAAAAGCTGTCTTTCGATCTCTTTGCTCTGAGACCTGCCATACTGCCATGACATCTAGGAAGTGTTTATGCAGGGTCGGAGAGGGCAAGAAATCGGCATCCAATAACAGGATGAATTTGGTCTTGGATTGGCTATCAAGAAGAAAATAAGTAGAAATAAATAAAGCATTAACGATGTGTAATGCCAGAAATTATATTTACAAGATGTACTTGCTTTTTGACTGGCTGTTACAGAAGAAGAAGAACAAAAAGTAAAAACAGATAAAGCATAGGATAGGACGAGTAATGCCACAAATTAAAAACAAAGTAAAATGTATTTAGACTGACTAAGAGAACAAAGTAATATACCGGTAAAGAGTTGGTAAAAACATAGAGAAAATAATTTTTTTTTTCATGACATGGACTTGACAGAATAATATGACATACACCAATCAGGAAACCTAAGAATATTTATGATATGATTGAAGAGATCAGACATATGGACAAAATACAAGTAATACAAAACACTGCATGAACAGTCCGGATATATTTCTCACTGATTAAATTATCTATTATTCTTGTACTCACAAAATCCAAGACTAAATAAATCCTATATTCAATCTTGATAGATCTCTTCTTTCATAATGGCATACCTTTACGCATGAGCAATTATAACATAGAGAAGAAGAAGCAAATAAAAACCTACCTTATTGCAACATTCCTCATGTAATTGATGGGGTATATATCCTCCATCTGAAGGAAATAAAGATACTTATATATTACAGTGAACACTGTATATAAAGACCACTCAAGGGAGGCAAAAGAGTGGTCTTTACAGACAGATGGTCTTTCGAAGCAGATGGTCATTAAAGCAGGTGTGACTGTAATAGTTACAAAGTATAAGGTGATAAAACTGAAAATTCCATATCTAAAAACTAGATGATAAGCATTAACAATAACATGGAAAATTCAGCCCTTGCATTTTTTAACATCATTTTCCCATTTGCATTTTGCTACAAAGTATAAAACAGGTGATAAAACTGAAAATTCCATATCTAAAAACTAGGTGATACCAGTAAGCATTAAAAAAATAACATGGAATTAATCAGCCCTTGCATTGTTTAACATCATTTTCCCCATTGCATTTTGCTTCATGACCGCTTGTTATGAACTACTAAGGATATATTTCATTCAACACAAGTACACTTTTTCAAAATAGCAGAGGTGAGGGGAAAAAACTCCCAAGGCATTCCCAATTCTCTTCAAAGATGTTCATTTTATTCATCAAAGTCTTTAATAAAATAACTAAATTGAGTCAACATTTAACCATTAGGCATTTGATCTTTATAGATGTGTCCTTTCAAATTCCTACATTCATTGATTAACTGCATGAATATTAATCTACCGGTACTTACCGTATTTGAATACACCAGTGTAAGGTCTATGTCTGCTCTTGTCTGTAAGATTCTCATCTTTTTAAAAACATAAATTCTGCAAAGTAATCAATGAAATAGTTAGACATCTGAAACATATCCCTATGGCATGCTGTGTGTATCAGAACACGCACTACTACAAACATTTTACCAAAGTGTACAAAATTTAAAAAAAATACAGAGTTACATCTCAAATTAAACACATAAATTCAACTTCTCACAAATGAACTTCAAAAAGTAAAGTATTGTTAATGATGATGACAAAGATAATGATGACAGTGATAAAGAGGAAAATAATGATAAAGCATAATGATGAATTCGATATAATTATAATGATGATAACAACAGTATTTACAATTTGCGTAACTATTTTTGTATATGCCTGCTTTCAGTCATAAGACATTGTTTATGCATGAAATAAGCAAACATCTCATAAAGAACACAATGAAGCAATAAACATGCTAGATATCACTTACTGAAGCTTCTAGTCATCCAGTTAAGCTATGGTCACAACCCCCAAAAGCAGCCTGGTCAGTGGCCAGGCCGCATGTTTTTAGCCAATTTTGCCCGGGCACGGAGCCCAGGCACCACTTGTTTTTAGGGCATTGACCGGTCGCCGCTGAAGTTATAGCGCGGAGTTAAAATTCGGCGACACCTGCTCACTTTTCACTCGCTGCCCAAAACATGTTCGGAGACCGACGGTCGCTGCCCAGGCACCAACCTAATCGAGCGTTGGCCGTCGAGCGATTTAGGTCAAAAATCTATTAAAGCTGCTAGGTCAAAGGCTGCCGAGTGGTCACCGCCCTGTTGCCGCGCGGTCGCAGCTGGGAGATCAGTCGGTCACTGGGCAGCGATTTCAAAATCTATCGGCAGCCTTTGACCTAGGGGCTTCAATTTTTTACCTAAATTGCTTGACGGTGAGCGCTCGATTAGGTCGATGCCCAGGCGTCGACCGCTTGGGCACCGAGTGTATTTTGGTGCCCCAACCATCACTGGCCAGCTGCCGGGAAATTTCTTCAAAATCAGCCGGTGGGAGACTGCTCAGGAATCGTTGGGTCATCAGTTGCCCAGTTTTGACCTAAAATTGACAGGGCACAGCCCAGGCATCGTTGGGGCTCTACAGCCTGCTCGACTTCTCCAAAAATTGTTGGGCGATGCCTAAATTCCAGCGGCGACCGAGCAGGCTACAAATTGGTCGGTTGCTGCTCTGAGTTGTGACCATAGCTTAAAAGACCCCAGTGGAACTTACTTTTTCCACTCGATGTCTTCATCTCGTTCATCAGCTTTGATGGGGAGGTAGAGAGAGATGGAGCAAGGGGCATCCCAGCTGTTGAGCATCCTCAAGACGCCATCGATGCGATCCAGGGAGGCATGGGTGATGAGGGTTACGTCATCAAAGGGCTGCATGAGAAACACATCTGGTTATCCATCTAGCTCATGCACACTTTAACATTGGCGATGTGCAAGGAATATTAAGCTCATGGTTTTTTTAAAGCTAGCAACTGGATAAGCTAAGAACATGAAGACGTTTTTATCTCTTGTCCATTTTGAACAGAATTTCAATGGAATGTCCAGTGAACCGAGTCAAATTGATGTTAAGTAAGAGAAGCTATGTTAACATACCCCTACAGTAAAAAGCATTCTTTCAACGTGTTACAGATACACAGACATTAGTTTTCATATGTAACATGTGGTACCACTATCATGACAGTTGTTTTCTACAGACTGCTTGTTGCTTGTACTATGTAAAAGTCATCAAAGAACATGGACATATGATATGACACCCCCACCTGACAACAGGAGGAAAATTTCAATTTCTCTTGTTTTACCTTTTAAATCTCAACAACTGCAGGACCTAGTGGAGGCTTGTTGGAAGAAAAAAAATTGCTTTTTCAGTCAGTGAACCATTCAGAAAATTCCTCATTTTGTTCTATACATACCCATTAAATCCTTTTAGAAGCAATTTAAAGCTCCTGACATAGAATATGAATAAAATACATGTACCACAATTATATGAAGTACAGAAAGAAACACAGACAAATCACAAAATGTGTTGGTTGGGACTAGGAAATGAAGGGAAGTGCAATAAAATGGAATTGATAACAAGAAGACTTACAATCTGCATGTTGTCAGCTGATAAGACATGCTCAGTACGGTAAGAGGGTTTCTTTGGAATGGATGCAGGCTTTCTCTGAGTGCAGGGCACAACCATTTCATCCCGGGTGAGAGGGGTGTGTGATGGAGGAATGTCTGAGGGACGAAAAACAAGATGGAAATCATTTACAGGTATGTGGTGATTCTTCAGTGGAAATTCATGGTTATCAAGTGCATTAGTTATTAATACATAACATCAGTTTGGAGCCAGAAGGGCATTAGATCATATACTTTTCTATCATATTCTATTTACGTATAACACAACAGTACATATAAACTTTACAATTTTTCATTTCTGGATCAAATGAGAATTAGATTAGTTTCTGCACAAGCTACAAAATTTGTTATATATTTATCAATGACATATCATTGAATGTCGATGTAGTGTTAGAGCAACCTATGTTAACTCCTTGGTTAGAGCAACAAATTCTTTAGACAAAGTACACAAGGGTTGGTTACATTGTTGTTTAGTCTGTGCCAATGTATGTTATACTTACCACTAAATGCATGGAGGTGTATGTCACTAAACTTAATATGACCTTTGTAACCATAGCAACAGAGCATGACTGTGATGCTCTCTACTTGTTTCTCTATTGACAGCGTCTGTTGAGAAAATGGGCAAGAGAAGTCATGTCAAGCAATATGCCGTCTGAAGTATCAATTATATCAAATTAGCTATGAAAAAAACGGATTTCACTATGCCTGAATTACTTTATCAAGAAATCTTGGTCAAGAGAGTCTGATAAACTTCCATTGCACATTACAGTTTCACAACATGCATTTCAGCATTGTGATTTGACCTCAATAATTGGTTTCCGTATCGTACACCAGAACATGATATTCAGATTATTTTAATAGCAGAAATTGATACAAAGCGACAAAAAGTATTAATTTTTTTGGTGACGCACAACTATTAACGATGCACTCGAATATTTTATCTGCTCATAAAATTGTGACGTATCTCATTTCCCACAAGCATCTGTACTTCTAATACTCCCCAATTTTTATTGCAAAATGATGTTTAAAACTCTTATCCAAGTGGAATTGCCCAATTATAAAGAAATTCTAATTACTCTAACTTTCTCCTTACCTTGTTTATCTTTGCTGGCAAGAATGAATGTGTTCCACCTGGAAATTCTAATCTGAAAATTGAATTAACATAAAATTAACAATACTAATGGGTATAATTGATATGAAAAGAATAAACATTTGCATTATTTCAGATTTTATATTTCTAGGACAAGCTTGCATTAAAGGTGAATTGACAATGTACATCTTGACAGAAATCACCCCATATTAATCCTCTTTATATCCTTACAATATTCTATGACTATGATAAAATTAAGAAGCGAGTGTCTTTGGACCCCTTGCACTCATACGATTACACACATGATGCACAGGAATGAGTTCATGATACGTTCTATACTCACTCAAGTTGAGCCTGTATGCATAACAAGACTCAACAAGAGCGAACAGATCCTTTAATGAACAAATGAAAAAATGCATCATTTTTTTTTTAACGCAACAAAACACCTAGATCCTTGTTATTTCGTTTTTAAAGAATTCATTTCCAGATTTGCTCATGTCATTTTTGCCGACAAATAAATCCAAAGTTTATTAGGCTCACTTTAACCGCACACAGAAATAAGTGCACTTATCTCTAGTCATGCTTACACCTAGTGTTACGCAAGTATAGGTGCACACACAGTATTAGTGCATTAACCTCTACGTGCACTGCTGTGCATAGCATACTAAAAGATTGTTGGATTGTACTGGAAATTACTGTACGCTTCTTCATGAAAAAAAAGTTGAACAGTCTCAGTAAATAATCCAACTTGACTGCGTTTGACCAATTATTTGATCAGGATCTAGGAGTGAGTTGTATAAAAGCTATTGTTGACTGAATTGGGCCTCCTTTTTTTTAATATTAAAAACTAGAACTACACATATATTACACTTACCTTAATCTCTCTGTACTATCATCAATATATTTCAACAAAGCTATTGCACTATACGTTGTTGCTCCTCCCTGTCCAAAATAAAAAAAAAAATATTTTCTTGATATTTCTCTATTGAAATAAATATACTGTGCAGGCTTAATGCAAATTACATAGTCCACTCATAATCATGCACAAGTTTTTTTTTAAAAATATTAAAAGAAGTCAATAAAGCTCAATTCTGCTATTTTCAGTTACCTTTTCTAAAAAGCACAGATAAAATATCCCCCTCCCCACACACACACACAAAGGGGGCAGGAGGAATAATCATAGTTCCAAACAACATGAACTATACCTTTAACATTGGGTTTTGTTAATCAACTGCAGAATAGTGTAATGGAATATCAACTTGGGGCGGGGCAGGGTGGGGGTATCTTTAAAAAGGGAATTGTATCTACATCTAACTAAGCAAGATGCTCATCAAAATATAGAATGAAGGAACGCAAAATATTTCTATGTCATACTTGTACAAGAATGAGGGTCCATAGGATGACATTATCCACCTAGATTTCAAAACATACAATGTGCTAATCATATCTTATACCTTTGTTGCAAAATACAGTAAAGAAAAGATTGCTACTCACAGATTCTGGAAATCTCTTTAAATTCGTTGATGCACTTTTAGCGGAAAAGTGAAGTCTTTTTAACCTGACATGAGGATTAATCTGCCATGAAAACAAAATGCAACAGAAGTATTTCAATTGAAAAATGAATCTAATCCTACTTAGCCAAATATTTGTTGGTTCATTTATTCCTTCATTAATTAAATCATATATTCATCCATCAATTTAAAAATCCAGTCATTAGTCGAACCATTAATCTGTCGATTTATCATTCATTCGTTCGTTATTCATTCAAGCACTTTAAACTATAACTGATCCAAACACTAAAAATCCAAAAATGATCTGATACTAAAACATTTAGGACCTCATGGGTACTAGGCTTCATTGTAGTTCAATTGAAATCTCAAGTATCCTTTCAGACATGAAGCCAACATGAACAATTTTTTGATCACATTATTAGTAGTGCAACTATTTCAATTATTGTACCTGGCTAAATCATTTGAATATTAAATTGAATTGCTTGGTGAACCAGTAAGTGACATATAGAGTTAATAATACATTTTTGGACTTCTTGGAAAGAAGAAATGTTAACAATACATATTAACTGATCTAAGACTTACAGGCAAGAACTGGTAGATGGACCTCACACTATCTGGACTGCATGCTACTTTCAGAACCTGTAGAAAGATGTCAGTGCAGGGAGTAGAAAGAAAAGAAGAATGGAGAGAGAGAGAGAGAGAGAGAGAGAGAGGGGGGGGGGGGGGGTAACAAAAGAAATACATCAGAAAATGATCTATAGATTATGGAAACAGAGCCTGTTATTGTTCATGAGCCATTAATACCATAACCATAGCAATCATAATTATCATTATCATAAAAAAAGATCTTTATTAATTAGCATTATAGATATATCATAAAAGTGTAACAAATTGAAGGGTTGATGTCGATGCTGATAATGCAGAGCTCTGTACCGCGACTTTGTATCTTGTATCATGATAATAAGTCAAAAATATAAGTTCTAGCAGTCTCACATTCGACATAGGTCCACCACTAACCTTAGCACAAAGTCCTTTTCTTCCAGCATCGCAGTCCACTTCGTAATCCCACCGTGCATGAGACATCCACCAACCCTCGATGCTTATCTCGGATGCATCAATAATACGACTTGATAACAAATTCATTGACCTTTCCTGGAGGTCACCCAGGTCACCAAAGTCGTCTTGATCTACTGCTGCATCGTCCCTCTGGTCGGCCTGTCGGCTCTCAAATGGATCTTTCTGGACTCTGAGGAATCAAACACAATACACAAAGATAATGATTTTTAGTTATTCAAACCAATGTATTATCAGATTACCAGCTGGTACCAAGTGATTTCCTCATCGATCTTGTTAAAGATAAAATATAAATCTTTTGAATATGAGGTATATTAAATATCCAGTATGAGGAATACTCAATGGACAAGTTGTGGGTTAATAATCTTCACATCTACTATTCATATTAGCTGGGCATCCGCTTTCTATTTACTGCATCAATAGAAATAGCAGCATTAAAGGTTGCTTTCGAATTGATGATGATTAAGGTCACATTTCCCATTTCTCATTGTTTCTTTCATCATCAAGATCACTGTTACGAGACATCATCATCGTGTAATTACATCATCAATTGCATCTTTATCATCATCATCATCATCATTGTCCTCATCATCGTCATCATCATCATCATCATCATCATCACCATCATCATCATCATAATCATCAAATCATTTTCATCACCATCCACATGTAGTCCCTTGGCTTGACTAAGAATCGGGGCCTGCTAATTTTCACATTTGCAACGGCAACCAAAAGAAAAATCAATTTTAGATATAACACACAGCAGCTATCTATGTATAGACCTAGATGCACTGCCACTGGCCACCTGTCATTAGATGCACCGCGCATCACTAACCACAGTGCACCCACATACACTGCACTGCACATGCACAGAGCGCACAGCTGGCATTATCATCATCAGCATCATCATCTTGCCATCATCCACTAGCTCAGCTCAGCTCAAACCATTAATCATTCAATCAGCTCAGCTTACCTTCCATTGTTCTCTTCATCTAGAATAGACACAACATTCATGTACATTAGCACTAATGATATTGTTAAAATGATGAACAAGCACCATATCACTCTTTTGACATGAATACGGCGAAAATGAAGATGGAGGAGAAGCCCCGTTTTGTGATCAGTGGACACAGCCATTTTCATCTGATGCTAGTCTACCTGCAAAACCAACTACATAAATTATCTTGCCATTTGTGTCATGAAAACCCAAACCGTAGATCTATTTGAATATTTTAGACTTTCTTAGAATGAAACAGGGAAAATCTATTACTTATTCTATAAGTATTACTGTGATCGATGACCTTTTATGTCCTAAACTGAGAGATTTGACATTAAAAAATTGTTTTATTTTCTTTGACACATGGCATGCGAAGTCTTGGAAGTAAACTATGTAAATTGGAGCTGGAAAGCGACGACTACACGACGGTACCCATGTTTTGGAGTAAAATACCGTCTTGAATTTTAATAGTTGGTGAGTATTGACCTTTAAATCAAAATTATTGAAATGATATGATGTTGAAGTTTTAAAATGTTCATGACATGTCGCGTGAACCCTCCGGAAATCCTCGTATATTATCGACTTTGTTCGGCCTACCGGGCCTAGAAATAGGTCTCGGGATCTTTGTTGTGTTCAGACACCGCGAGCTGAGGGCAGTGCTGGTGGCTTGGACTTGGAGTGGGGGATCCGGGGAGCGCCTCGAGCTCGAGGATCCACTCCCATCCCATTGGGCTTAATTGCCTCTGGTTAGCTCTTGATCTTGCATGCCAATACGGAGCTGAGCTGCAGCAAGTGATTGTGGCTTCTAGTAGTTCTACTAGTTGAGTGATGGAACGACTGCCTATTTTTATTTGTGTTCACTAGCTGTTTTAGCTCATTAAAACGAAATTTATGTTCAAATCTTAATGTAGACTAGGCCCTAAATCATATGTTAAATCATGCACCTAGGTCCATTGCATTCCATGGTTAAATTCATAGATCTATATAAAATGAACGACAACACATTTGGTCTAAATTTATTACTCGGAAGTCTACTGGCTAAATTAAAGTTTAAAGTTAAACTCGAGCTTGATTATCTTTCTTAAATTGTTTTCCTGTTCCAATCATATTCATACTAGAGCTATAGAGGTCTAGAAGTACTATTCTTTTTGTAATTCTTTTGACTGTTCCATAAAGTTATTTTCCATTTAAAAGAATGATTAGCAATTTTTTCAATAGTTTCCTGGAGCAGGGAGAAGTTGTACCTGTAGTAGTCATGCAGGTGACGCAGGCACATCTTTTTAATTCTTCTGTGAATATTTTTTAATAGTTTTTCTGAACTACAGCTAATGGACTACTGAATAATATGAGAATGTCAGGTGAGATCAATACCCAACCAATTTACCACATACATGTATGTAGACCTATATGTAAAAAAAGAAAATATACATGTATTTAGCAATACTCACTTCCCTTGTTTATATTTGCAGACTTCTTCATAATCACCTGCCAGCATGGATCAAGCACTTTTGAGAGAGAGGGAGGCCTTCTTAAAGAGGGCAAAATCTCAACCAGTTGTTGAGAAAAAGAGACCAAAAGCAGGATCATCTAAAGAACCACCACCCAAGAAAAAGAAACCGGGTTCTGGCTTTTCAGAACCAGGTGTGTAGCAGTGCCAACATTGAATTTGATACAAATATTTCACTTCATAAGTATTTGGGGAAAAAAATACATAATTTAAAAGATGCAAGATTGATATCTTTGATTCACACACTTGTGTCTATCTATGCACTGCTTTAATATTTTACATCTTTTAAGAAGTAAATGTTTTTTAAATCCTGTTTAATTCACTTATTTAAAAAATATCTTCATATTCTCAATCTATCTCTCTTACTCTTTTTTCTTTTGAGGATGTCATATACTGAATTGTTATGATTTATTTAGGATTGATGATATATATGTAAATTAAATACTACATGTAATAGAGGAAGTGAATACTGCATGTATGGATACAATGATACTAATAAATTATTGTTAATGTTCTTTGACATTATTGTTTTATTTCCTGATGTTTTTTTCTTCCTCTTGGCAGGCTCCAGCAGAGCATCCACAGGGCTGAACTATAAGACACATGCTGGTAGTTCCAAGTATAAGTTTGGTATTCTGGCAAAAGTTGTTCAACACATGAAGGTGAGTGACTATTACCCTTAATTATTTATTTTTTTGTTTATTTAAAGGGGTTTATTGATATGGAACCATTTGCAGCCAGGTGGCTGAATTGCAGATTCTTTTACAATTATAATAGATAACATAGATATGTAAATTTGATTAATGATCATACATTCATATCAGTGAAAATGCAACATTTTTGGACAATTGGCATATTCCAAAAGGGCATCAATTAAGGTTTATCACGATAAAGATACATGTACATGTAGTAGGCCTAAGGGTCTACATCATGCTTCTTTAATTTCTTGATATATCATGATAAATATCAGGCGTAGCAACAGGTTATGACAAGTTGCAGCAAATGAGATATTTGTACGTATAACGGCAGTAATGCATACAAATCTGTTATGTTTTTTAATGAACAATGCCTTACATCACATTACACATTACAATACATTTTTGGGATTTGGGTCATTGGTTGGGGTAAGATTCAATATGGGACAATATGAATATCATATGGCTTGGGGCTCCATATCATTATATGGGCAGCAAGAAAATTGTGGTTTAAAGTGATTGCTAATGTGAGCAGTGGCATTTTGAATTTGTGAACATTGTGTGCGTCAACATGTGAAGCTTGTGAACACTGTGTGGTAACAATTCATATTTCAATTTTTCTCTCTCTCCTCCCCCTTTCCATTTCCCTCTCTTTCTCCCTCCCTCTCTCTCCCTCTCTCTCCCTCTCTTTCCCTCCCTCTCTCTCTCTCTCTCTACTCTTTGTCTTGTTTTTCATCTCCTGGTGTAAAGGTGCGTCATCAACAAGGGGATTCATACCCACTGTCTATTGAAGAAATACTGGATGAAACTAATCAGATGGATGTTGGTCCAAAACACAAGATGTGGCTAATCAATGAGGTGAGACTGGACGATATATGATACTGGTGTATGAAGAGAGATCCTAAAACAAGTGTACTGTAAAGGGTCTAAAAGATAACTTAAGTATGCAAATGTTTCTTACAAGAATCTTTGGTCATGAAACATTGTAGTCTCTTGCAAACCGTTCTTATGAACAAAATCAAGCTTTTTATACTATGTCGGGCAAGACTGAAATTACTGTTTGCATAGTCGAGTAGAACAATTTGAATTAATCAATATAAATGCTATCACATTATTCCTAAAAATGTAGTGAAATTCTTTAACATATTGTGTCAATTCATTTAAACTATGTTTAAAAAGAAATGCAACCTTGATAGCAAACTACTCTAGAAGAAATCAGGGGAAGCAGACTGGCAAAATTTTGAATGATATCAGACAACAAATTATAAAGTTATGATTTTTTTTAAAGTCAAAGCGCTATAGGTATGGACTCTCTAAATTTGCTTAATCGTTAATGTCTCTGTGATGTAGTGGCAGACAATTGTCCCATTTGATCCAAGACACAAAATTAATGAAATTTTATTTGTTTTTAATGTATGACTTGGGAGGGTCTTTTCTCTTTAATGGGCCTATAACAATATGCCATCCATATTTTTTTGGTAGAGCCCCGAGGGAGAAGGCACCTAGCAGAAAATATGACAAATTCATGATATTTTTATACAAGAGAGTTGATCTGCAACTACGTCACAATCCACTTACTAAATTGCCTATTTGAGATGTACATAGCTTTAGTGATCTCATATTTCAAGCATTCATAACTCTCTTATAATTGTTCCAATTTATTTAAAAACTTTGCCATTCCGTTTCTCCTAATTTCCTGCTTTCATAGCAATGAACTGATTCAAAAGGTTGGATTGCCCTTTAAAAGAGAAACAATCTTTATATTTTTGCTTTGATTCAGGCCTTGCCAAACAACCCAAAGGTAAGCCTAGAAGATGGAAAATACCTCTTCAAACCAGCTTTCAATGTGAGGAACAGGAAGGAGATGGTGCGTCTGTTGAAGAGACATGATCAGCGTGGGTTGGGTGGCATTATGATGGAAGATGTCATGGAGAGTTTACCTCATGCCAAGGTTGGAGTAGAGGTAAGGAAGTGTCATTAGGTCAAATGTAAAAGGTCATGTGTTATTTGAAAGTGAATTGAAGAGACATCATCAGAGTGGGTTGGGTGGCATCACGATGGACGATGTCGTGGATAGTTTACCTTATGCCAAGATTGGAGAAGAGGTTAGGAAAAATGAAGAACAGTTTAAGAGTGTCAGGTCAGGTCAAATGTGAAAGGTCATATGTCAGTGGAAGTTTAAATGAGAGACATGATCATTGAGAGTAGGGGAGATCCGTTGTCATGATTTTTTTTTCAATGCTATAACTTGAGTTTGGGTAAAGAAGGGGGAAAAAAGAGGTAACGGGAAAGAGAGAGAGCGTGTATATAATAAATGATACAGTATCTTATCAAATGTTGATGTCTTTGTTTTGCTTTAGTCCAAATTGGAGATAAAATTATGAAATGATTGTTACGATACTGTTTATTGTTATATTTTGTATGTGTTTCAGATCATAAGAGGAGTCATATAGGGGACCATTGAACTATATGCAAATTTTGGGGGCTCTTTTATAACTTTTGGGGGCTCTTCACCCGAGCCCCGTGTATTTTTTCCCTGATCCAAGTTGAGGCTGATCAGATAGCGTACTGAGAACAATAAACACAAAGCAATGTTTTTATTTTATTCTAGAAACTAGAGAAAGCTGGTGAAATCATTGTCCTAACAAAGCCTGACAAGAAAAAAGTGGTGTACTACAATGACAGAACATTTAAGCTCAAGATAGAAGAGGGTAAGTGTATCACAACATAAAAATGTTCTCCTTTCTCTTTTTCTTTCTTTGTATTATTAATAGTGTAATAAGTTTTTTGTATTAGAACTGGAAAGAGATATGGTCTTTGCAATTATGTTTAATATCACAATTTTGTTTCCCTTTCCTTCTTGAAAGGAGAGATAAGAGAAAATAAGAGAAGGTTTGGGTGTAGCTTAAAACCCCTCAATAATAAGTGGAATTCAATAAATGAACAGAGAATAAAAGGGCAATAACTCATATAATTTGAGGCCTAAACATGCATATAAACCATTCATTGAGAATGAAAGGGGATTTATATTGAAACAGGAAGAAATGAATAAAATATTTCTGTGCATTTTGTCTTTGTTTGCAGAATTTAAGGAGTTATGGAACAGCACAACAGTAGATTCATTAGATGAGGAAAAGATCCAAGAATACCTCAAGAAACAAGGCATCAACTCAATGCAAGATCATGGACCAAAGAAATTTGTAAGTTTTTACATCTTCAGTTTATAAAACTATATCATTTTACGTGCTCCTGTTATGCACCAAATGTCACATAAATATTTATCATAGTTCAAATGCTGTATTGTGTATTCACTGTATTGGTGACAATTTGCAAACGATGTACTCGTTTGAAACTTTGAAAGATATGGATGATTGCATGACATAGTTATGAACACAAATTATATTTATAGAACTACACCCTGTTCCTAACCATAGCATATAATGATTGAAAGAAAGTTTATGCTATCATAATTTGCCAATGAAACTACATAATTCTCCCTCAGAAAGAATGTCCCACCCATGATGTGTGGTTGGGGAAACCAGCATGGTAAGAGTGATAAAGTCACAGAAAAAGAATGTCTAGATAATATTCAGCAGAGGGCCACCAGACCTGCCAACCAGTACGATTTAGTCGTATTTCGTACGATTTTTAGAAGCAAATACGACAGTACGATTTTCCTTAATAATTTTTTTTAATTGTTTAATATATTTTTTAAAATATTTATTTTGTGTATGTGTGCCATTTTTAATGGCAAAATGACCATTCTGTCCTGTAAAGTATCCTACAAGCATCTCACATCGGCAACATGGGGATGTTCATTAGTTCATTGAACACAACAGTCTTGACGAAATCATGCATATTCAACCAATGGTCCATAAAAAAATTCTTCCTGTATGTAGGACCTGTAAGAGGCATCGATCCGCGTAACAGTCCGTGTTGATTTTTAAGAATACAACATTTGTCAGTAAAATACAACTTTTGGGATAAAAGAATACAGTTTTTGAACTCCAGAGGTTGGCAGATCTGGGCCACTGATCAAGCAGATGATACTGAGCCTCCTGTCTGTGTGTTTTTGTTTCTTTCAGAATGCACCGCAGAGAAAGAAACCCAACAGGAAAGGTCAGCGAAAGTTCAAGACCCACAACGACCACATATCAGAAGTACTCAAAGACTACTCGGAAGCCAAGAAATAAAACCATCCCATCTACAAATATGAACTTTGCTTTAATACAAGGAAACTTGGGATTGTACATCTTTCCAAAATTCCACATTGTATATACCGTAGATCTAACGAGGAGGCGCGATAGCTCAGTCGGTAGAGCAGTGGTCTCGTAATCCGGTGACCCGGGTTCGAAACCAAGTCGATGCACTAGTGCCCTTTGGTAAGGCATTAATCCTCATTATCAGGTCCCTCGGAGAGGACCTAAAGCCGTCGGTCATCTGGTTGCTTACTTGCTTTCTTAGCAGTCAGGTAACATAACCACCATCACCATGTTCACATTGTGCAAATGGGGCGTGGTACAGGAATCAACATGGATTTCAGTGATTGATCAGCTATACTCAAGGACGACTCAGATGCTAAGAAAGAACACCCTCTTATGTGCAAATTTGACCCTTACATAGAAGGAAACTTGGGACTGTACAATTGTTTCCCAAAGTCCATATTGTGTTTGTGTTTATGATGTGCAGATAGGGTGTGCTACAAGAAACAGAATGCATCTGTGTGATGGCTTCAAGAAGGTAACAGGGTCAAGAAGTTTGTATGTGATGAAGGTTTCAACTTGGCAGAGATTCCGTCTTGTTTTGAAATATGGTTTGATGAGCTAGACATTTTCTCAGGAATGCATTGGAAGGCACACTAATGTGAAAAGATTGACTGGGTTGACAATTTTTGATGGGAACTTCTTTAAACAGTAGGCGTGGTAGGAATGAATGATTCACAGTCACGTGGTGTCAAATGACCAATTAGGTAAGGCTATTAGGCTACATTCTGGAATTTGTTTTATATTGCTTAATAATAAACAAAATATGGTGATGATTATGATTAAGTCTCCAGAGCATTGATATGTAAGTCAGAATTTGTACTGCTACTGCTGTAGTCAGACTGTTACACCTAGCTAAGGTCCCTGCTGGTCATATCAAATCTGTGAAATGGTGCTGACCGAGTACCAACATTGGACAGGGCAGTAAGCATCGTTTAGACCCTGTATTGCCACAAAGATACTGTGAAATCATAGATATTGTCTTGCATTTTTATTTAAATAAAAAAATACAATAAAGAAATATTTTGCTTGAAATTCGTCTTTATTCAAATAATGTACAGAGCTAATATGATAGCAGTATTATGTTTAAACAATACATGAACCTACATTTAAACCATTACATTCTCTCTTTAGCATCATTTTTTCCTAGACACAAACTTGGATACCTGTCCAAGGAAAAGTTTCATATTTTCAAAGTTCATTAAAGTACATGTAGTTGTATCAACAACAAAAATAATCCATTCCAAGTCTACTCACTATGAATATGATTGACAAAGAAAGCGGACAAAATATACAGTTCCTCAGGTAGACAAAGGAACATCCCTTCACTGCTATTATGTCAAAAGTGAAAATGCATGTGGCACCTGTTCAACACCTTTTTACATAATAGCAGTGAAGGGATGTTCCTTTGTCTACCTGAGGAACTGTATATTTTGTCCGCTTTCTTTGTCAGTCATGATAATAGTGACTACAGGTTCAAGAGCGGCTGATATCTAGTACATTGCCATTGGTATAATTGTATTCTGAAACTGAGTTCTCCAATATTGCATACATATAGATTCGACCAAAGTGATAGATAGCACAGTACCGGTTATTCTGATGCAAGGATTTTGGAACAGAAATAATGGATTAAAAAAAAAATACAGTGATAGGCACGGTAGATTATTGACTTGGAAGTATAGAACAGAATTTGTAGCAATAAAGATGCAAGAAAAGAATGGGAAGTAGGAGGGAGGTAACTTAATTCAGATATGACAAAATAACGGAGTACCATCAATAGCAATGCAATTACTTGTTCTGCATGATAGAGTTAAATTGTGTTCAAGGGAAGGGAAGAGAAACGGGGTATTGCTACATACACATGTACAGTACATGCATACACATGTACAGTACATGCATGAATGACAGAACTGTATTACATTCCAAATTTCTGGTATTAAAGCAGGATTACTTTCTCTATATGCAAGAAAGCTTATGTACAAGGCAATGTCATTTCATGATGGCCGTTTGATCTTATGGAAATATGTAGGGAGGAGTCACCACCAAAGAGCCTTAGATTTCACAGAAATCAAGATGAAATGAGGTACATGTACATGTAGTACAAGATAAGAATGGGTACAAATTAGAATAATTACAAAATAGACAATAAAGCCAATAACGAGGAGATTTAACAAATACTTCAAATGTGTGGAATACATTATTAGTAACTGGATCAACCAGTGCTAAAGATATTATTTGTGCTTTCACTCTAATGCTTTGGTGTAAATCTCTCAAATTCTTATCAAAGAACAGAAGGGTTTTGTAAAATGCAATGCTCGAGTTATCGGGAATGTTAACGTCTGCTGATTAATTACCGGTATACATTCATGGGACGCTTCAAGGGATTTGTATTAACTTTTTATTTAAAATCCTAAGAATTAGTACATGACATTGTCTAATTGTCAAATCATAGAGACTTCTGTCCTTAGGATAGATTATTCAAGAACTTGAATAATGGTAGTGGTTCTAAAGGAAATCTGCTGTGAAGGTGAAAAGATGATTCAATAAGGAGGTTTACAGCCATGGTTTATACCTCTAACATGCACTCAGATAAGCAATAAAAAGCAAATATTACCCTCCCATGAGAACAAGAGCATACTATGCTTAAGGAGGTTTAAACAATTTGAAGATAAACCTCCTGAAGTATATCAATTGGAGCCTGTGACTTTATAGCTTTCATACTTGCATGTTCCAACTAATGTCAAACAATGTTGCAACCTCAGTCCTCCCATGAATTGACTTTAGAGATTGAAATGGTGGTATTCAAATTTAAGCTTCAATTCTTTAAATAATATTTTAAAATCCAATACCAAATGTACATTAAAGGTAAAGACCAGTATTGGTAACGCCCCAATTTCAAAAAATGAAATGGAAGCTCTCATTACCAATCATGTGAAAGAATATGTTTTGACTAATACATGATGATAAAAAATTTGCCGGGAAACCGCCTACTAATTCATATATTTGGTAAATTTATCTCTCTCATGGTCGTGTGAGAGAGATAGGGTAGTCCCATATACATCTTTCTGTGTATAGTGCTTGTAACTTTACGAAGAATGGGCCAAATTTCTTATCATTTTGATGATTCCAGAACCTTGCAGATGCTAGATGCTAGATGATCAACCTTTTCTGATCGATTCCACAACGTTTCTTTCACAATGCAATCGCATGACCATTACTGGTCTTTACCTTTAAAGGGGTATCTTGGACAAAGTTGCTGCACCTTATTTTTCTTCTTCTTTTACAATGTAATTTCACAAAACAAAACCATTTATAAGTGTTGGTTAACAATTTTGTACATGTATCGAGATATAAACACCACAGAGAGAAACTTCATTCATAAATCTCTCTCAGATTCCACCAAACCCATGTTTTTGTGGCTGAACACAATGTCTGTTCGGAGCCAAAAGGGCATTAACTCTGATTTAAAAGTATATAAGTTGATGCCCTCTGGCTCCAAACGAACAAGTTATCTCTCCAATATAAATAAAACATGAAAGGTATGTAACATCTACAGGGGGTCTTCTCAGAAGATAGGACTATCTTGTGTCAGTGACTCTCTCCTTTCTTGCCTGCCACCTGCAATACACAAACACCAAGAAGAAAAAATATATACAGTCATGAACTAGTTAAAGATAAGAGTTCTGATAAAAAAAGAAAATAAATTCTTACAGAATCAAATGAAACTTACACTGAATGTTCAAGATTACAAATAAATGTCATTTGCAAAACAATTTTGGTAGAAAATGCATAATGGCTGAGAAATGAGCATAGAAAGATAAGGAAATCAAAGTGTCAGGCCCGATACCATTTATGTAGTCCCATCTTCCAGTGTACAATGCCTGTTACTTTACCAAGACTGGGCCGAATTTATATGATTTTGATGGCTCCAGAACCTTGCAGTACACATCAATACTTACATGCTACATGATCAACTTTTTCTGATCCATTCCACACCTTTTCTTTCACAATGCAATTGCATGACCAGAACTCGACTTTATCTTTAATATTAGGTGATATTCCATTTAAAGTAATGATTTACTTTGACATAAGTCTGTTTGGCATTGAAAACAGTCTGCACACTACAGGTGAAACTCTTCAGATTTCAGAAGTTAGACTTGGGACAAATGTTTTGCAGGAAGGATAATTTTCAAAATCAAGGGGGTCATCCATGACTATGCCCTCTGAGTCTGTTACTATGTGTTTACTGGTCCTGAGATCTCTAAACTACAGCAAAGATGCTGTCATACTACTGACAAATGTATTATCTTCCACTTGATATCAAATTGTTTTGAGGAATCATGACTTACTCTCTTGAACTCGTTCATGTTGGTGGTGTTGACTTGTGTTCCTATGAAGCTAATGTACTGTATAGTTGTTGTCTCCTCATCATCTTGGTTATTCATTACAAAGATCTGTACAAGAACAATGTGATACAAAACAACGTCAAATCTGGTTAAGAAATGAAACATATCAAAGGATGAAATCATGTATAGTGATATCAAACTGTCAATGTGTAAAGATCACTTGAAACTTGTAAAATACTCTTTATTGATCATGGAAACGTAATATCTACAAAAGATTAATAATATTGTGATACTACTGGATGGCTTAGAAGGGGCTGACATGATAATCTGAGTCAAATAAGTGGACAATATGGTTCTTTTAAGGGCAATATTTTCAATACTGCCAGAAAGTAGAGCCATCCAATATGTGTTCTGAAATTTTCTATCATCAGTAACTCATTTTTATATTTCTGGTGAAAACAGCAGCTAAATAAAAACAAATTCTTGCTACAGATTATCTCAAAAGTTCTCTCCTAATAATATTGTCACTAATGTATAACATGACCCATCCTGGTTACAACAAAGCTTTCTCTTGTTTCACTAAAGTGATAAATAAACCCCTCAATCTTTTTTTTGTTGGAACTTTTGATTGATTATATTTCTCTTGTCATAGGATAATTATTGCTTTGTTAAGTGTCATTAGATAGCATGTTTATTCCTCTTTAAAATGATATTATATTTGTTATGATGTAACAGCCATAGAACGAGGACCAAAATAAGGGGAAAGGTAAATAGCGGAAAGTTGCAAAATGCATTGGTATAAAGCACTGGTATTGTCGTGCAGTGCACTACACAGCAGCCCTACACTCTTCAAAGAAAGAAGAATGCACAGTTGAACAAGAGCAGTGCATTCTTGCAACTTTTCACTTTTGACCTTGCCCCTTAAAATGCACATTGCATAGCTGAAAGATCAAAACAAATGGGATATCATTTTAAAGAGGAATAAAAATACTTTGTAATGACATTAAACATAGCGATGATTATGCCATAACAAGAGAGATATAATCAATCAAACTTGAGTTTCCAAACTTTTTTTGAGGAGTTTATATAAAAATGAAATACACTTCATTAAAAGACTCTCATCCATTATTCTCTCAAAGGATGTTCAAAACGCTCAAGCTTTGGGTAGTTGTTATTCATTGATAGGACAAAGTAAATATACTTACAGTTACATTCTGTACATTCTGAAACTTCACAAATCTCAGTGGAATTATTTCACCTGCCAGCTGTTCTGGTGTCACTCTATAAAGTCGGAAATCAATAAAGACAATTACCATTAATAATAAATTAATTAATGATTATAGTAGATAAGCAACTAGCCATTTCACATTAAACATAATTATATTTACCATATCTGTCCACAGGATTTTCACTAACATACAATCAAACCGGTCTTAGTAGCCCTCTCTGTAAATGCCACTTGTCTAAAAGTGACCATGTATTTTGTCTCCCCTGAGGATGAGAAACAAATGTGTGTTGTAGAACCTGTCTAGAAAAGCCACCTGTCTACTGTGGCAACTTTCTCTCTTTCCCTTGGATGGCCTCAATAGAAAAGTTTGACTGTATCCCTTTTGTTTCAATCCAACACTCTGATTTTACAGAAACAAATAAGATTTACTTGTAAGTCTTTCAAGCTTAAAACATCATTCAAATGATTAAAAGGGCCACATATATTCCAAAATACACCACATTATTTGCTATTTCTAAACTCAGGAATGGATAGATCTTGTCAACGATAGACATCAAGAGAAAAATTAAGAGAAAAAAGAAATACTTCACAATAGTGCACTAAATTCATAGGTCACTATATCAAATCAACTACCTGGACTAGATCATAAGCTAGAAGGTACTCAAGAGTTAATGAAAAACTATGAACACAGCTCCACATAAAATAACATTAATTAGACTCACGTAAGCTCTTGTACAGCCTCCATCCGCTCTGCTGCATCAAAGCTTAACGTTTGAGGCTGGTTGATGAACAGTTTAATGACCTTTGGCCCATTTTTGGTTGGACCCAAAACTTTCAAGGAATGGAGTTTCATATTTTGCTGGAAGGACATCGTAATTATGAGCTGCAAATATAAATAACAACAACAGTGGTGAGTTATCGTTTATTTGGTGCAGGGAAATGAAGAAAAGAAAGACGTACCCGGTAACCGAGTCGGAAAATGACTGTATCATTTCATCTAGACCACAAGCTGGAAAAACAGGAACATGTACTAACGTTCAACCTACATATGCACTGAGTTTGAGATGGTACACACTGGAGTAAGTGTTTGTAAGAAAAGACCTATCATATCATGAATATACTTTACAGGTACAATTTCTGAATTGTATGTCCAATTTGGACCTTTATTATTTCATTGTTGGCAATCTTATATGATGGACTTGATCCGGAAAATAGTGAAAACTTTGGTCTATGTATTTTATGCTCAATTTGACATTTCTTGTTTAGAAGTAACCAATTTCTCATGATCAGCTTGGCCAGGTAAATACTTCAAAGTTATTCCTAAAATAAGGAATGTCTATGGAGGACATAAAAGAAGCAATTTCAGTATAACATGAGATTGTTACAATATGAAATGGATTTCTCAAAGCTATGAATTAGGAATTTACTTTGACAAGACATATTTCAAGTAGGTTATTTGCCATTTGACTATTAAAGAGGCAATCAAATTCAGTTCTCAGACAAGGTTCATTTTTGCAATATGTTTGAAAACTTCATCATATCAATTCATTTTAACTCAAGTTCACCTTTTTAATTTCAATAATGGTAGGTTTTAGGTGATATTATTATCAGTAAAGGTAATAGTATCATATGCAATTGACTATTATGAGCAGTCTTTAATCCTAAAACCCTAATTCCAACCCCATTTTTTTTTTTTTTTTTGTGGCTGGGGGGGGGGGGGGGGGGGGGGGGGGGGGGGGGGGGACATCCATGGTTTCCAAAGGGCAATTGCCAAAACAACATCTTATCATACAACTGGCAACTAGCTTCAGCCTACCAATACCAATATACAAGGAAGGTGTCTGAACCATAGACATACACATTGTTGTAGGTAAATTCCTTTTGGATGTGTCACAGCCTAATTCTCAATAATAGAGACCATCCTGATGGACTTGATCATTGACCCAGAAGCCTTTCTTTAGAAGTTGGGTTATCAGAGAGCTACCAACTCCTCCCAATACTGCTAATAGAAATAATAACATGACCAAAAACCCACCATTATCTTTATAATTCAAAGTCTGAGTCAAAATTCATAAATAAATCATCCTACGCACCTGCTCATCACAGTCTGATTCTAAGTAACTATCTCCTTTCTTGAGGCATGCTTCCAGGCGATGATCATCACTCTCATTGAGGCACTCTGTTTGTTGTTTATCTATCATGCCATTTAGCTCAATCTGTTGAAAGATTAATATTGGTAATAGTAACAATAAGGACAAAGACAACAACAACACCAATAACACTCTCATTCAGGCACTCTGTTTGTAGTTTATCTGTCACATTTTTTTAAAGCTCAATCTGATAAAAGATTAATAGTTATATTGGTAATAATGATAATAGTAAAAACTGTAAGGCCAAAGACAACAACAACAACAAAGAACGTAATAATAACTGTTACATATATTGCATCTTACCACTTATCAGAACTGTAAAGCCACAAACTTTCATAATTTGTACACAAGAGCCATTTTCACAGCAAGAAACTTGTGAAAATTGTCAAAAGTCCTTGTAATGACGGCTGTAATTCAATTATTTTGTGGCATGAAGTATAATTAATTCTCTTTATTTAGTATTCTATAACAAAATGATTAAACAAATTATCTCAAGGAAAATTGATTCCATACTTATTCATTTAGGTACCTAACTATGTTCTCCTGACGAACTCTACCCACTAAACCCAGACTAGAGTCAGAATGCTTTAAATGATGAACACCGGTCAGTGTGTTTTGAGTCCCTATGATTGCCTTCACCCAAAGGGTGAGTGAATTTTCAAAGATACTCACATATCCTGGTACTCCCGATCCTTCTTCATCATCATCATCCCCACTGACATAGTGTTGTTTGATCTTCTGTGTCAGCCCTGGTGCATTCGCTCCTTTCACATCATCGATCTTAACCCCACCCTTCAGGAAGATGAATGTTGGCATGGAGGTGACGTTGTACTTCTGTGCAGTTTGCTGTATGTAATACATATGAAATACATGTTTATTTAAATTTGGTCATTCTATTACTTTACATCCTGGTGTGGTATTCTTAAAAAGGTGTCATTGTTTGTTAGTAAAATAATTAAAAGTGTCATAAACATGTGTCCCAATTTGGATCTTCATCCTAGTGTCAACAAGAGGTAAATAAGTGTTTAACTTTAAATGCCTACTTCTAAGGTATATTTCCTCGGTATATATATATAACAGAACATACTTTACAATGTAGCCATCCATTCATATTTCAGGGGAAATATTGAGGGTCGAAACAAAAAAGTGTTTGTAAAGCCTCGTTCAGTTATGACACAGCAAAACTGCAGAGTTGTGATGAAAAAGTGTTCTACACTTCACAATCCTGTATGTCATACCACAGAGGTAGGACCCTTGTTGCATCCGATTAACATTAATTTTACACGCTAAAAAACCCCTTGGCATTGGTTTGCCGAGTCAATAAAGGGATCCAGTAACTTTGCCTCAGATTCTGAAACAAAATCCTGGATTTAGCTCATGCTGCAATGATAATTATAAACCTTTAGGTCAGTCAGGAACCCCATGACTTTTACAAACAGGTGAAGCCGATCGCCTGTCTGATTATCAAGATATTTATGATTGGAATTACAAATTTTGAAAACCGTTTGCCAAACGGTTTTCATAACACTACAGTCTATTGGGGAAAACGAGTATGGTAAAACCAGTCACTCAAAGATTTTTACTTTTTTGAGGCACTTCTTGACCATTTTGAAGTGCGATTTTTTTTTAGGGCTTCAGTATTAGACCATATCACAGACACTGATACCACGTAGGGCCGTGCATCTCAGATTTAACATTGTTAAACAATGCGTTTAAGTCTAATTTTGGGGGCAGGAATTGTTGGTCATGGAACGGAAGGGATTTAATGTTTACGTGCAAGAACATCATGTTCATGGTTCTGAATACAAAACAATTCTGACATTGGTACCTACCTTACACACATCGACATCCACCTTAAGGAATACTGCATTGGGATGAGCAGTAGCCAATTGGGCAAAGACAGGAGCTATGGTACGACAAGGTTGACACCTGGATGATAGAAGAGAATGGGAAACATCAGTTATCTGGCTTGATTGGTTAATACTCATTCAAGAGTGCTAGTCGCACATGTAGGCGTCCCGGCATCTTTTGAACTGAATGGGAAAGATGCTTGCGTGTGTTGCCTGCTCTGTCTGCACAGTGGTGGGTTCATGTGCTTTTAAAGACCATTTGCCTTCTCAAATTGTTGAAAGGTTCTTCTTCTAGGAATAATACGAGATAAAACAACTACATGTGTAGCACCTTTGTGACAAAGGAGCTTTCCAGCTAGGATCTCTTCAATTCGACACCCACTGCGTTAGTTTTTTATTCTTCCACAGAGCCTCCCAGTGTAGCTCTGTCTATAGAGTTAGAGTTATTGACCAATAGGTCTAGAGGTAAATATGGGAGATCTATTGTCAGAGATTTTTGTCAAGATTTCTGGTAGCCTCTTATTTCTCTCATTTAAGATACCAATATTCTTTGTTCACATTTACTGCAAAAGGAATACCTGTCATTGGCTCAATCTATTAATCAAACTCCTCATGAAAAATAGCACTTCTGACCATCAAACTTATCAAATTCTGAGTCTGCTTTTATAACACTTTTTTGTTATGATCCACACACAAAACAAATGGTCTACTGAACTAGCGCCATTATTTTTTTATCAATTAGATCTAGATCTATACTAGACTAGATCCAACAGTTAAATCTATCATAACATTAGATCCCCCGGCCCCCCCATTTAATTTATTGACTGTTTATCAATCATATCATTTGAAAGTATCATTTCTAGGGATCTACAGCAGGTTTTTACAAATTATTGCGTGAATGAACTGCAGAACAGTGTTGTCTTTTTTTAATGCGCAGCCAGGATAGTAATGCTGGTATGTATAGATCTAGCTAGATCTAGTCTATGTGTGGAAATCCAACCAAGCAAACAAACATGCCACAGAAAAGACACAAAAATGCACGTATGGGACCATTATCAAATTTACAATGACTCACCATGACGCGTTGAAATCAACGACGACCAGCTTTTGTCCGGCACTATCAAGTTTGGGTTTGAACTGTGAGTCTTCTGAAATAGTATGAAGATTTGCCATCTTAAAATTGGTCTGCTGCTGACAAATTCGAAAAGGTTGAAGTTTCAAGAGTACAGAATTTTCTTCAATTTTGCTGTGTAGTTCACGTATTCGCTGGTCCTCTGCATTATCACCAGATTTAGAACGTGCGCTACTTGTTACGCTGGAATAATAGATCGGCGGAATTAAGGATCAGCGAAGAAAAAAAAAAGGCACCCCTCGTACTCGCCCCCCCCCCCCCAAAAAAAGGGAGGGGGAGCCGTGCAAACATGCCAACCGCGTCAATATTTTGTTTCTTTATGTTGAATTTCCCCCTCCCCCCTTCCTTGCTGGAGTCATACTGATGTACCCCTCCCAAATGATAGGCCTATAGCTCCTATATAATTATGGCGTAGCAGCTAGCTAGGCTAGGGGTCAAGTCATTGAGGGGGCGTCAGAATCTTGTAAGGGGGGGCACTAGATGGATGAAATACAAGAGAACAATATACTATCGACTTCGGGGAGAGTTTATGGGAGGGTTAAGTCATCAATCATCTTCTTTCCTACAGTGAAACTATAGCAACCACTCACTTGTCTTGTCATTAATTGAAACGCGTACTGAAAGAACTTGTATATTCAGATCACCCGCCTATAAAGACCACTTTCCCTGTATCCCTTCGGCCGTCTCTATATGCAGGTTTCTGCACTGTAGGCATACTTGCTAAGCGAGTTCACGACTCTTTCTGTTACCTCTCTCCCTCTCTCTCTCTCTCTCTCTCTCTCTCTCTCTCCCTCTCATTTTTGTCTCTCATCCTCGATCATTTTCTTTTCTTTTTCATCATCCGGCACGTACGTTCCCCCGTCCTCCCCGCCTCCAGTTGCTACCAAACAACCCAATGTCAAATAGCCTTGGTGATCATAAGCTTGTCAGTATCCTAAGAATCAGGTCGATCGTCATCGTAATTAACATCACGAGCTCGGTGTAGGAGTGTAAACAACCATACACGTTGGTCATCCGTGTTAGATGTGGAGTTGCAGTTGTGAACATTCAATTCGAAAGTGAACAGAGACCTTCGAATTTGACGTGGGGGACTCCGCATGCATACATTGAAATAAATATCTGTATTCGAGATATTTTGATGAGAATATGAAGACTGTTTATCTTGTTGTATTCATCTGTATCAACACGGCTTGTAAGTATTTCATTTATTACTACTAAATCAAATTGCAAAATAAATGTTAGCCTACATTGACATGAACATCGAAGCTATTTGCTAATTTGTGTTTGGAATGCGACGTGTTTAACTATCCAATATTAGAGATAAGAAAACAGGTTCTACAATGACCGTGTGTGTGTGTTGGGAATACGATTTTCTAATGCTCAGAATAAAAAGAAATCATTTAAAAAAAGAAAAGAACAATAAAGAAATAGGCGGGGAGTGAACACTTTAATTGAATTCTCAGCAATGGATCAATATTGTTTGGCTTCAATTAAGAATTTCTAGAACAAAGGAAAATATTAGATTAGAGAAGGAGCACGGTTATGCTTTGAAAAATAACGCTATTCAAGTTTGAAAAAGGGATTCTTAGGAGTTACTTTCAGGACTTAATTCCAAAGGGCAAATTTCGTGAGATAGGCAGAACAAATAAATAGGGCACTTTTAAAATGGAAAGTGCATTACTCAGAATCGAAATGGAGCTCTTATCAGAAGTAAAAAGGGGGCACTTTGGAGGTTCTTGAAAAGTATAGGGGCACTTGTGTCCCTGCCCCCTAAACACCACCTCTGGTGAAACTTGTTGTTGTTGTTGTTGTTGTTGTTGTTGTTGTTGTTGTTGTTATTGTTATTGTTATTGTTGCTATTCAGAAACTCCCAGAAGTAGATTAGCAATCTCACTGTCCAGCCAAATACTTGTTGAAAAACTCATTTCATTTAAAAATTTCCAACTCTATATTAATATTGTCTTGTGAACTTTAGAAACACGAAGTTACTAAAAATCGGTATTGTCACAAACACGAATGCAGTGGGGTTACTCCATAATTATGTGATTAAAAATATTGGCAAAGGGAACGCAAATCCAAAGAAGGAAAAAGTCCCCCCCCCCCCCCCCTCCCCCACTGCCCATGAAAAAAACCTAAAACATTATTCGCTCTTTAGAGTACTATTCCTTAGGAATGTAGGCCTTCGCGGTTTTTAATAAAACCGTCTGAAGTTCTGGATATGCGTTTCAGTGCAAATACATCAGGATTATTTTGGAGATGAATAAGCCTACACTAAAAGAATAAAATAAAGTCACTATGCGAGACCGCTGCGACGTTTTATTTACACTGCGAATCTGATTTCCCATGAGAATACGCTTTTGCGAGGACTCCCGATTTAACCAATCAACTTGATAGCTAATGCAGCGAATAATTACTGTATCGTCATGCTGGCTGAAGGTGAAAATGTATTGTCATAATTATGATAACAAATGAACCACTTTGCGATTTAGTAAAATTAAAAAATTTAAATTTAAAAGCAATCGCCTTTATACAACGGATCTAAAAGTTGATGCCTTCGATATTCAATCTAACCCGACCTCATATTCAGTTATTCAACTTGAAAATAATATGCAAGTATTGTATTGTTAGACCGACGCTACGACTACATTATTACAAGTATGATTTAATCATTTTCTGATAAAGTAACACTGAAAATTGCAGGTAGTCATATTGAAAAAACAGATAAGACATAAGTCAAATGCTTTCATCAATTAGTTTGGTTTCTGATGAATATTTTGCTCTCTCATTGTTTTCTCGCATCAAGTATATGCCCTTTGATGATATTATTCAATTCGCATTTCTTTAAATCGATAGCTTTTGATAATTTATGCATACAAGATTATTTCAATGGAATTAATCCATTGATTGATCACCATTGCCAATGGCGTAGCCATGGGGGGTGGTATAGGGAGAACTTAATCCCAATAAAACGGTTAAATGCAACTAGAGAAAAAGTGAGAACAGTAAGGGGAAAAGGATGATATATGAAAGACGCCTGGGCGACCTCCCAAACCCTCCATCTGATCAGTAGCCATCTTAATTCCCATTTTATATTCGAGGAAGACAGGTGTGCCCCCACTCGTTCCGGTAACCCCCTCAATGACTGGATTCACGCTATACGCAGCTGGACTGATGGTTGCTTTATTTGGAACCCAGTATTTTTTAATGAGTGTCCTTTCTAAATTGTACCAGAGCCGGCGTTCCCACTTTTTCAAATACGATGATGAACAGCATTTTGTATGGCGCCATATAACATTCAAAGGCGCGAAATACCCCCCAAATGACCCCTTTTTAATTCTTTTTACCTCTTATAAGTGCCCCTATTCAAATCTGATATGCGCCCCATTTACTTCAAAATAAGTGCATATTTCCCCTTTTACCTATATTTCCCATTGTCACTTACAAAGTGTGCACCGTACGTGCTAGGACATGATATATATTTTTTTTCATCCCTCATCTCCCCCATAACAATGGAATCCCCGTAGCCTCCTTAAAGGTAATACAAAGTTTTGGGAAATTTTGAAAATTGGGTGGATAGTGATTCTTTACAATTTTGATATATTTGGATGCCCCTGTGGATGTATTATAAGCACTAGAAAATTTAGCCCCTAAAACTCTCCTACTTTCGAGAAAATTGAATATAAAAATTTTCAAATAGCGCCTACGGCTGTTCAATGGTAGCTACGACAATGAAAATCTCACTTTTATGTAGTTGTGATATATAATTTTCAAACGGGAATAGCTAATCGGTCGATTTTATTCAATAAACATTGTTTTATAGCTTAATTTATAACTTGACCTTGAGAGCGAGCTATACAACATAAAGAGTTTATTATTTACCGCAATTCGCATGCTCCACCCGCTTGTACTTTTTAGTTTCCCAGTAAATAACATATTAAAGGTCTTCTTCATTCTTTCATTTTTGAGATTGTAATAATAATAATAATTGGTGATTGCATCTAAATAGTATGATCTAATCAGTCACAATCAGATGGTGACATTGCGACCTCACAAATCTTTAAATTTGTCAATCTTCAGGAAATCACTACAACTGCAAAGTATTATACTGCAGCAGGATGTTCGACAACAGAAAGATATAGGTTACAAAATCATCCTGATAATGTTTTAATTACAATGTAGGGATATTGTAATATTATAAAATACCAATGTCTAAACATTGTATTTTTTCACCTTGAGGTTATCCGGCCTTTGTGGAGTCCTTGTACCAAAGTAAATATTTGATGATAATAGCGCAACCACTTATCCATCATGTTCTTAATTTAGAGCGGTTAAAGCTTGTGCGAAGGAAGTCTATGTTTTTCATCAAAAACTAATTACACTAAATAATTAATTGTCATAATTAAACCACTAATATGAATAGAGGATTTGTCAGTACTAAATGACTGATCACAAACATTAGGTTGATGAGTTGTGTAGACTATTTATCGACGGAATTAATTGAACTAGTTTATGATAAAAGATTGAAATTGCCACCACCAACACTGACTCAAAGACTCAAAATATAACTTGATCTATACAATATTATATTGTGCCCTCTCATGCATAACTAATGCGCATTATTTTCTGCTCCCTCGTCTTCTTCTCAACCCCACATGCAGCTCATCCTTTTTATTATTTTCTGTACCCCCGATCTCTCACTCCTTTTTGGCATTGCCTATTTTTTTGTATTGTGACCTTAATCTCAGACTTGTTGTCCCGTTCTCGTTTCTGTTGGCATCTCTCTTTTTATCTCATATTTCTAGTTCCTTTTTGTAGTTACGAATTTGATAATCTAATTACTCATTATTCCTAACTATCATTTAAGAGGTCCATATTAATTATTGTATATAAGCATCGCTTTTTAGTGGACCCCTCTGTTTCCAATATCTATTCCATAATATTGTTGTAAATGATTATAATTGATTTGTAAAGTTTTGTTGCGAAACAGAAATAAAATTGAATTGAATTGAACACCCCCAACCGCCACCATCACAATCAATAACGACATGACGGTATACAGCAAAAATATTCAAAGTATATACCCTAATGATGAAAATAATGTTGACTTTGATGTTTTCTTCATATTTTATAAAATAATAAAAGAATGCTAATAACAAATTTGACAA